AAGTCTTTTGCTTTCGTAGTGAGTGATTTTCGTGTGCAAGTTCGATACTAGTCCCTCTAGGATTTTCCAGGTGTATATAATCATGTATCTCTCCCGCCTGCGTTCCAGGGAATACAGGTTCAGGAACCTCAAGCGCTCCCAGTAATTGAGGTGTTTTATCTCCGTTATGCGCGCCGTGAAGGTTCTCTGTACATTTTCTCAGTACACTGAGAGACAACACAATAAGTGTCAGGGGCCCAAAACTGTTCAGTTGCCTCCCAGCATACATAAGGGGGATTACCAATAGATCCCTGGCTGTCTTCAAGAAGACACTGAACAGGCACCTAAAGTCAGTACCTGACCAACCGGCTGTGGTTCGTACGTCATCTTGCGTGTGGCCAGCAGTAATACCCTGATCCACCATCAGACCGGGCCGCGGGGGCGTTGACCCCCGAAACCCTCTCCAGGTAAACTCCAGGTATCTGGGGTCGAGGCGCGAGCTGCAGTGTTTATATTTGTTAACTAAGGTACACACCATGTGGGTTGTCTCCCCCCCAGGCGCTGTAGGACTCATACGGGTTCAGCGCTTCCCATGAATGATGTAGTAATAATGTTTCTTTAACGTTGAGTTTCGAAAGTCTTTCTACTCCCGGAGCCCGGCCATAGTCCAGGCTCGTCTGGTGCTGGCCTGGGAAGGGCTACTCCTTGTACTAGCAGTTACTTCTTGGAATCTAGCAGCTAACTCTCGGTACCTGCATGTTACTTGAATGAGTATCTGTAACTGGCAGTTACTACTGGCGGCTAGCAGCTTTACTACTGGTCTGGAAGCTACTACCTGGTACTAGCAGCTCTACCTGGATACTAGCAGCTGACTACCTGTACTAGCAGTACTACCTGGTACTGGCAGCTACTCTGTACTGAGCTACTACCTGGCGCAGCAGTTACTAATAATAGACTATTACCTAGTACTAGCAGCTACTATATACCACCTAGTACTAGCAGCTACTACCTGAAAAATAATAGGGAAAATTATCCTGTGTGACAAGACATACAAGAAAAACTCTTTTGTTATAAAAAATGTGAGAAAAATACAGGAAAACCGTTCTTTAATGGACAATAATATGGAAAATCATTTTGTGATGGAATATAACTTAAAAACCATTGTGTGTGATGGAAATATTAGAAAAACCATCCTGGGTGATGGGACTGGGGAAAACCACCATGATTGATGGAATGTAACAGGAAAACCACCATGACTGATGGAATATAATGAGGAAAACCATCATGACTGATGGAATATAATGAGAAAAACCATCATGACTGATGGAATATAATGAGGAAAACCATCATGACTGATGGAATATAATGAGAAAAACCATCATGACTGATGAAATATAACAGTAAAAATATAATACATGTATAATGGAATACTACAAGACAACCATTCACTATATAATCGAGGAAAACTATGGTGAAGAATGTGATATGGATAACAAGACACCATCCTTATACAGGTTAGTCTATGGTATAGGTTTTTCATGATAAAAGGACAATTGTATCGGAATCAGGTGTTCTTAGTCTATATGATGAACCAGCAGCTGGAGCTTTTTGTCATCTGACCGAGACCTTCCACTGCATTAACCCCCCCCCCTCCCCAACTTTAAAAATTATGATCATTAATATAGCCATTTTGATCTAGGATACAAAAACATCATCCTGGTTACGAAATAGGATAACAAAACAATCCTGTGACCCCTAGATTAACCACACTGCTGTGTAGGTAAGTGGAGCACTGCTGTGTAGGTAGATGAAACACTGCTGTGTAGGTAGCTGGAACACTGCTGTGTTGAGTGACAAAACTTCACTGCCTGGAGCACAAAAGAACACAAGAAAAACAAGCAATAGAAGAGGCCTACTGGCCCATACTAAGATGCCATATACACACTCAAACATTGACACTAATGTCCAGCATCACTAGACACGAACATTGCTAAATGGAAATTGTACTGCATCCTGGACTGTGACCCTAACTGTGGCACCCAAGATGCTCGGTGAAACCTGTGAAACTGGCTGGAAAAAATAGCATTGCTGGGTGATAGAAATACATTGCTGGATGGAAGGTGTTGAAGTATGGAAGGTGTTGATGTATGGAAGGTGTTGATGTATAGAAGGTGTTGATGTATGGACGATGTTGTATGAATGGAAAAACAGAACTGGAGGGGGTACCTCCCATTCCTTGGGTAAAGATCCCTTCACAAGCATAATGGCATCACCTTGAAGGAAAGTGTGTGTATAATACTGCCAGGACAGCACTTCTACCCATAAGTCATCCTTGGATCAAATGATAGTTGATGTACACAACATTATCACCAGTGTGCCTGGAAATAATCTTTGATCAGTGACAATGAATCAAAATCAGAGAAGCTCAGTCCAGCAATTATTATCACAAGTGCTGTATTATTTTTCCCCTCAAGGAAGGTTCCTTGATGTTGGTGAGGGGCTCTTGATTTAGGGAATTGGATCTGTGCTCCAGTTCCCCGAATTAAGCCTGAATGCCTTCCACATCCCCCCCCCAGGCGCTGTATAATCCTCCGGGTTTAGCGCTTCCCCCTTGATTATAATAATAATAATAATGTATTATTTTTATAATAATCAAGTAACTGCTAAACCCAGAAGGGGTAACAAGCAGTTTACTATATTTATCTGGGGAGAACTAACCCCAAATGGGTCATACAGCACCTGTAAGAATTCTATAACGGGTAGGTTATTATTAGGTGGTAAACCTGTAAGGGTCATACAGCACCTGTTAAAGCTGTAGGATAATGAAGGTCATGAAGAAAAATAACAATGGGCATGTCATAATCCCACAATGCTTTAAATTTTTCCAAAACACTCATACATTTCTTTATACATTTTACTAAGACAGTGGTGTAGCCTCAAATTTTGTCCACACACTGCCAGACACATTCTTTGGTAAAAAAATTTAGCAATTTTTTTTTAATCATCATTGCCTCCTCCCTCCTCAAGGACGGAGGGGGCATTGATCTAAAGAATTATACTAACCTCCCCCTTCCTTGGATGGAGCTTAATTTCTTCTCGTTTCACAGGCACTGTATAATCCTTAGGGGTTTAGTGCTCCCCCATGAATGCATTACCTACACCAACACATGGAGCTGTGAGCTCATACATCACAAACTGTTGTACAGTGGACCCCCGGTTCATGAAGTCATCGGTATCCGATAAATCCGGTATCCGAAGCATTATATCGCAAAAAATTTGCCTCGGTTCCCGTTACAAAACCCGGTATGTGATATGATTCATACGAGACGTGTCCACATGTGGCCTGAACTGCTCAATGTGTGCCAGTGTTGACAAACCAGCCAGTGTGCGCGCATCTAAGGATACATTCGGTACATTCCATATTATCACTGTTTTTGGTGCTTGTTTCTGCAAAATAAGTCACCAAGGGCCCCAAGAAAGCTTCTAGTGCCAACCCTGTGATAAAAAGGGTGAGAATTAGTATGGAAATCAAGAAAGATTTTGAAGGGTTTGGGGCTAACCCTGAGAAGCCTATGCCAGTTGTGGAATCCATTGTGCCTACTTCAAAAATTAAGGAAATGTGTGCACAGTAGGTTGAACTGCAAACCTTTATGGATGAAAATCACCCTAACACAGCTATTGCAAGCCGTGCTGGTGACTAATACATTGACAATGTTGTGAACCACTTTAGAAAGTCATAAAGGAATGAGAGGTACAGGCCTCTATGGACAGATATGTTGTGCAACAGAAGTCCAGTGACTCAAGCTGGTCCTAGTGGCATTAAAAGAAGAAGGGAAGTAACCCCGGAAAAGGACTTGCTACCAAGTCCTAATGGAGGGGGATTCCCCTTCTAAACATTAAAAACTTCGACACTCTCCCCTCCTCCCATCTCATCAATCATCACCAGATCTTCATTAAAGGTAAGTGTCAATTATTCTATTGTTATTATTGTTATTGTAATTATTCTATTGCATTAAACTTAATATTTCACGTGGTAAAAGCTTTTTTTTTTCATACTTTTGGGTGTCTTGCACGGATTAATTTGATTTCCATTATTTCTTATGGGGAAAATTGATTCGCTTTCCGATAATTTTGCTTTACGATGAGCTCTCAGGAACGGATTAATAACTTGAACCGGGGGTCCACTGTATTATATTCTTGGGAGAGCACTAACCTCATTTGGGTCATACAGCACTTTGGGTAGCTATGTAATCTCAATAACATGCTGCTATTGTTAGGTAAGACACATATGCAACAGTTAGGTATCTTTATTTCGAAACGTTTCGCCTACACAGTAGGCTTCTTCAGTCGAGTACAGAAAAGTTGATAGAAGCAGAAGATACTTGAAGACGATGTAATCAGTCCATCACCCTTAAAGTTTTGAGGTGGTCAGTCCCTCAGTCTGGAGAAGAGCATTGTTCCATGGAATGAAACAATATGGAGAAGTGACAGGATGGAGCACTTATATAGCGCCAAGAGGTGAGACGTAGGTCACTAGAAGAGGTAAGAACTCAGATGCTGGGAGGTCAGGTCCCTCTCAAATCCAGCCGCTCTCAAATCCAGCATCTGAGTTCTTACCTCTTCTAGTGACCTACGTCTCACCTCTTGGCGCTATATAAGTGCTCCATCCTGTCACTTCATCTCCATATTGTTTCATTCCATGGAACAATGCTCTTCTCCAGACTGAGGGACTGACCACCTCAAAACTTTAAGGGTGATGGACTGATTACATCGTCTTCAAGTATCTTCTGCTTCTATCAACTTTTCTGTACTCAACTGAAGAAGCCTACTGTGTAGGCGAAACGTTTCGAAATAAAGATACCTAACTGTTGCATATGTGTCTTACCTAACAACCTGTCGGTATTTTATACCATTTTAATGTTCAACATGCTGCTATGCCATTACTAACTTTAAATAAAAATCATATCTTTATTATTCAACATCACGAATAAAAATGGTATCTCATAAATAAAAACCACATCATTAAAAGGAAATTTATTGTTCAAAAATCTAAATGGAAACAGTATTGATACACGTATTTCCAAAATATTTTTTATACAGTATATAAAAAAATAACAGAATTGTTCACTTCAACAGCCTAGTTGGACACTTCCCTTTTATGAGAGACAAAATTTCTAACATGACAACAAAAAATATATGGGACCTCTGAAATGGTACTTCCCAAAACCTGTGTGGGATTATGTGAATCCTTTATCTGAAACATTAAAGTCCTAACTAATCCAATGTTTACCTTGGTAAATGCATGTTCCTTCTGGGAACTTCTCTTTCTTGAAGGGATGGCCTCATGTAGAGTATTCTATAAACATTTCATTCCTATAAATCTATCAATACTTTTATTGCAGTAACTGAAATGTTCGTCGAAGTTCACATGGTCATTTGGCTATTGCTTAAGTGAAGCAGTCACTACTTGCCTGAATTAAAAACAATGTGGAGAGTGTAGGTTCCCTCAGCACATATTAAGAAAACAGTACAAGGAAAAAATCAAAATAAGAGAAATATGTATAAGGACCTTACATGTGCATGTCTGATATTTTCCTTCTACTTTTCCACTTGTGTGGTATATGATTATACATCTTCCAAAGACAAACATGTATACACACATTCAAACATACACATTTATATTACACACATACATGCAAGATATAAGCGACTATTGGCAGAAAGGTGGGCTAGTGCAAAGATGAGTAGTGCGGGGGGGGGGGGGGGTTGTTGAAGAGGGTTGGAATAGTTTCAAAAATGCAGTATTAGAATGTGGGGCAGAAGTTTGTGGTCATAGGAGGGTGGGGGCAGGAGGAAAGAGGAGTGATTGGTGGAATGAAGAAGTAAAGGGTGTGATAAAAGAGAAAAAGGTAGCTTACGAGAGGTTTTTACAAAGCAGAAGTGTTATAAGAAGAGCAGAGTATATGGAGAGTAAAAGAAAGGTGAAGAGAGTGGTGAGAGAGTGCAAAAGGAGAGCAGATGAAAGAGTGGGAGAGGCACTGTCAAGAAATTTTAATGAAAATAAGAAAAAATTTTGGAGTGAGTTAAACAAGTTAAGAAAGCCTAGGGAAAGTATGGATTTGTCAGTTAAAAACAGAGTAGGGGAGTTAGCAGATGGGGAGAGGGAGGTATTAGGTAGATGGCGAGAATATTTTGAGGAACTTTTAAATGTTGAGGAAGAAAGGGAGGCGGTAATTTCATGCACTGGCCAGGGAAGTATACCATCTTTTAGGAGTGAAGAAGAGCAGAATGTAAGTGCGGTGGAGGTACGTGAGGCATTACGTAGAATGAAAGGGGGTAAAGCAGCTGGAACTGATGGGATCATGACAAATGTTAAAAGCAGGGGGGATATAGTGTTGGAGTGGTTGGTACTTTTGTTTAATAAATGTATGAAAGAGGGGAAGGTACCTAGGGATTGGCGGAGAGCATGTATAGTCCCTTTATATAAAGGGAAAGGGGACAAAAGAGACTGTAAAAATTATAGAGGAATAAGTTTACTGAGTATACCAGGAAAAGTGTACGGTATGGTTATAATTGACAGAATTAGAGGTAAGACAGAATGTAGGATTGCCGATGAGCAAGGAGGTTTCAGAGTGGGTAGGGGATGTGTAGATCAAGTGTTTACATTGAAGCATATATGTGAACAGTATTTAGATAAAGGTAGGGAAGTTTTTATTGCATTTATGGATTTAGAAAAGGCATATGATATAGTGGATAGAGGAGCAATGTGGCAGATGTTGCAAGTATATGGAATAGGTGGTAAGTTACTAAATGCTGTAAAGAGCTTTTATGAGGAGAGTGAGGCTCAGGTTAGGGTATGCAGAAGAGAGGGAGAATACTTCCCGGTAAAAGTAGGTCTTAGACAGGGATGTGTAATGTCACCATGGTTGTTTAATATATTTATAGATGGGGTTGTAAAAGAAGTAAATGCTAGGGTGTTCGGGAGATGGGTGGGATTAAATTATGGGGAATCAAATTCAAAATGGGAATTGACACAGTTACTTTTTGCTGATGATACTGTGCTTATGGGAGATTCTAAAGAAAAATTGCTAAGGTTAGTGGATGAGTTTGAGAATGTGTGTAAAGGTAGAAAGTTGAAAGTGAACATAGAAAAGAGTAAGGTGATGAGGGTATCAAATGATTTAGATAAAGAAAAATTGGATATCAAATTGGGGAGGAGTATGGAAGAAGTGAATGTTTTCAGATACTTGGGAGTTGAAGTGTCGGTGGATGGATTTATGAAGGATGAGGTTAATCATAGAATTGATGAGGGAAAAAAGGTGAGTGGTGCGTTGAGGTATATGTGGAGTCAAAAAACGTTATCTATGGAGGCAAAGAAGGGAATGTATGAAAGTATAGTAGTACCAACACTCTTATATGGATGTGAAGCTTGGGTGGTAAATGCAGCAGCGAGGAGACGGTTGGAGGCAGTGGAGATGTCTTGTCTAAGGGCAATGTGTGGTGTAAATATTATGCAGAAAATTCGGAGTGTGGAAATTAGGAGAAGGTGTGGAGTTAATAAAAGCATTAGTCAGAGGGCAGAAGAGGGGTTGTTGAGGTGGTTTGGTCATTTAGAGAGAATGGATCAAAGTAGAATGACATGGAAAGCATATAAATCTATAGGGGAAGGAAAGAGGGGTAGGGGTTGTCCTCGAAAGGGTTGGAAAGAGGGGGTAAAGGAGGTTTTGTGGGCGAGGGGCTTGGACTTCCAGCAAGCGTGCATGAGCGTGTTAGATAGGAGTGAATGGAGACGAATGATACTTGGGACCTGACGATCTGTTGGAGTGTGAGCAGGGTAATATTTAGTGAAGGGATTCAGGGAAACCGGTTATTTTCATATAGTCGGACTTGAGTCCTGGAAATGGGAAGTACAATGCCTGCACTTTAAAGGAGTGGTTTGGGATATTGGCAGTTTGGAGGGATATGTTGTGTATCTTTATACGTATATGCTTCTAAGCTGTTGTATTCTGAGCACCTCTGCAAAAGCAGTGATAATGTGTGAGTGTGGTGAAAGTGTTGAATGATGATGAAAGTATTTTCTTTTTGGGGATTTTCTTTCTTTTTTTGGGTCACCCTGCCTCGGTGGGAGACGACCGACTTGTTGAAAAAAAAAAAAAAAAAAAAAAAAAAAAATACATGCACAGGTTAGGGTGTGTAAAAGAGAGGGAGAATACTTCCCGGTAAAAGTAGGTCTTAGACAGGGATGTGTAATGTCACCATGGTTGTTTAATATATTTATAGATGGGGTTGTAAAAGAAGTAAATGCTAGGGTGTTCGGGAGAGGGGTGGGATTAAATTATGGGGAATCAAATTCAAAATGGGAATTGACACAGTTACTTTTTGCTGATGATACTGTGCTTATGGGAGATTCTAAAGAAAAATTGCAAAGGTTAGTGGACGAGTTTGGGAATGTTTGTAAAGGTAGAAAGTTGAAAGTGAACATAGAAAAGAGTAATGTGATGAGGGTATCAAATGATTTAGATAAAGAAAAATTGTATATCAAATTGGGAAGGAGGAGGATGGAAGAAGTGAATGCTTTCAGATACTTGGGAGTTGACGTGTTGGCGGATGGATTTATGAAGGATGAGGTTAATCATAGAATTGATGAGGGAATATGCAGAAAATTGGGAGTGTGGAAATTAGGAAAAGGTGTGGAGTTAATAAAAGTATTAGTCAGAGGGGAGAAGAGGGGTTGTTGAGGTGGTTTGGTCATTCAGAGAGAATAGATCAAAGTAGAATGGCATGGAAAGCATATAAATCTATAGGGGAAGGAAGGCGGGGTAGGGGTCGTCCTCGAAAGGGTTGGAGAGGGGGGGTAAAGGAGGTTTTGTGGGCGAGGGGCTTGGACTTCCAGCAAGCGTGCGTGAGCGTGTTAGATAGGAGTGAATGGAGATGAATGGTACTTGGGACCTGATGATCTGTTGGAGTGTGAGCAGGGTAATATTTAGTGAAGGGATTCAGGGAAACTGGTTATTTTCATATAGTCAGACTTGAGTCCTGGAAATGGGAAGTACAATGCCTGCACTTTAAAGGAGGGGTTTTAGGATATTGGCAGTTTGGAGGGATATGTTGTGTATCTTTATACATATATGCTTCTAAGCTGTTGTATTCTGAGCACCTCTGCAAAAACAGTGATAATGTGTGAGTGTGGTGAAAGTGTTGAATGATGATGAAAGTGTTTTCTTTTTGGGGATTTTCTTTCTTTTTGGGTCACCCTGCCTCGGTGGGAGACGGCCGACTTGTTGGAAGAAAAAAAAAAAAACAAAAAAAAAAAAACATGCACATCCTCCATGAGGAAGTGGAGAAGAATTCTTCCTCCATAAATGATGTGTGTCATAAGAGGCGACTAAAATGCCAGGGCAAGGGGCTAGTAACCCCTTCTCCTGTAGAAATTACTAAATGTAAAAAGAACTTTTGTTTTTCTTTTTAGGTCACCCTGCCTTGGTGGGATACTGCCAGCCTGTTAAAACAAAAATGCATATTGATACCTAACTTGACAAATGCATACACTGATTTAGATCAATTAATTTTAATAAACAAGTGGTGTTCCAGTAGATAATGTTAAATTTCTGGAAAAAAAAAAACTAAAGATGCCTTCACTGGTTGATAGGAATAAAAGAGGGAACATAAAAGCCATAATGAAGATCATAAAAGAGAAAACACAAAAACCATAAGCAAGTCCACAAAAGAGGAAGCATAAAAGCCACAAGCAAGATCACAAAAGAGGAAGCATAAAAGCCACAAGCAAGATCATAAAAGGACAAAACAAAATACTATGAAATCTTTTCAAACTCAACAGAGGGGAAACTGTGAACAGTGAAAAAGCAGTGACAATTGGATACAAGAAAACATTCCTTCACAAATAAGCGTGGAATGGGAGCCAGGGAAAGGCACAGCCCTGCTCTTGTGGTGACAAAAGTAATCATATGCATAATTTTTTATTGCATTGTGTGTGTGTGTATTTATAATTATATATACATGTGTGCATTCAATGTAGACAATGATGCACATGCATTACATACATCCACATGCACTGACAAACAGCTAAATCCTAAAACATTAGGTGATCATGACAAATAGATAATTACACTAATGCTTTCTTCTGAATCACAGTTTAATCCAGGTTTCAAAATGTAGTTCCTTGGATATGTACTGTAATTAAAACACCTGCAAAATACAGTGGACCCCCGCATAACGATTACCTCCGAATGCGACCAATTATGTAAGTGTATTTATGTAAGTGCGTTTGTACGTGTATGTTTGGGGGTCTGAAATGGACTAATCTACTTCACAATATTTCTTATGGGAACAAATTCGGTCAGTACTGGCACCTGAACATACTTCTGGAGTGAAAAAATATCGTTAACCGGGGGTCCACTGTACATTCATTTTTGCATTAATATATTTGGCACATGTATATTTTAATGTTTTGAAGATCTCGAGTCATATTTGCTACCATAATCAAATATTTCAAGAGAAAGCTACCAATATTAATATTATTTTTGAAGAATGACCCAGTTTTTAAAGCCATACAGTTTAGTTTCTGCTTTATGCTGTATTATAAAACTGATACATGAAATTAACCCAGATTTGGTATTACAAAAATGTTACATGAAATTAACCCAGATTTGGTATTACAAAAATGTTACATGAAATTAACCCAGATTCATATTTCAATGACCTAATGGAAATGATGTCAATACAAGTTAATTAATTTCATGACCAGTGCTTGCTTCTTGGTAAAATAACAATAACAACAATAATAATACTTTCGTTTTTATTTTTAGGTCACCCTGCATTGGTGGGATATGGGTGGTTTGTGGAAAAATAAAAAAAATACTGTATAATCAAGTTAAGCACTAAACCCAAAAAAGTTTCATAGCATGCTTCTTGAAGTTTATGACATCAAACATCCCCATAAACCACACAGTATGTTGGGTACCCACACATCTTCACAACACTGACATGCATACTAATACTCTACTGATAATGATGTTTTCCGCAACACTTGAGAGATTGCACACAACTAACAGACCTAATTTTGAACATCAAAGGATAGTTTCAATCATAATTATAGTTTTGGGTTTTGTAATACTTGCACTGTAAAACTTATTATGCCTATCTACATCTCTGATAAGTAGTTTCCTCCAGAACTCTGCATCCACCATGGCTGAAGATAATGCCATGGCCTGCTACTTTTAGAAATGGTTTGCCGTGGGTTCAAATAGTCCATTTGGCGAGTTGTTTACAATCATGTCATTATGAGCGTGACTTTGCAAATGGTCCAAGTCAGACCGAAACATTGTCGTAAGCTCCTCTCTTCTATGTGCGGGTTATTTGTGTAATGCATGAGGATGCTGCAGTTTAGTCCTTTGAATTGTGATCTCTATGCAGTTTTTTTTAAAATAAAAGCTAGCAAATGAGTGTCCTTCTCTAGGTTAACCGTTTCAGTGAGAAATGCAGGTGTAAAAAAAATTTAGACAGATAATGCAGTATAATACGTATACATTCATAACCCATGTCCAGCTTTTATTGCTTGATAATTATGCAAAAAAGGGATAAATTCTCTTCCTCAAAGTAAATATTAAAATAGATATTTTATGTGCTAGTTTGTTTTTTAAGTACCCTTCATCTTTTGTACGATTCAAAAACAGGCATTTTGAAAAAATCTGTAAAGCCCAGCTTTCTTGCTAATGCCAACCGTGCACACACAACTCAAAAAAAAAAAAAAAAAAAAGAAAAAAAAAAGAATATTTGAAGACAATTGTTTCTGACATGTGTTGTGGTATCACTGTCTCTACAGTTCATAAAAATTCAAGGAATACCCTCTCCAAACAGTAAGTGTGATCCTGGACTGCAGGATTAGTTGTCAAGTATATATACAGAACTTTAAACCAGCACCAGAGGTGATTTAAATTTGATGAATTGCCTAATGATGAATACCTTTTCTCAGTTAAACCTTTGGCTAAGTATTTACAAATGTTGAGGGACTGGCCAAAAACAAGAAAAGAGGAGTTATGTATATATTCTACTCTTGGAACGTAGGCAAGATTCTCCAAAAAATTAATGCAAGACAAAACTGTTCCTTATACTGTAAAGCAAGATTCACTGTAATGAATGTTTTCAATATGGAATAGAACAGTCGAACTTAATTAAGAAGAAATTTAAGGCGATGAAAATCAAGTTTATTCTTAAGACAATGCTAACATCTGAAGAACTTCTAAATTCAAATTTCATTTAGTGTATCTCTCATAATACAAAGCAGAAGCAACCTGACTGGCCTGAGACCAGGCTGCAAACAGTGGCCAAAGGACCAAGCCTCCACCCCTTCCTGCAGTGAATGACCAAGTAGAGTTAACGCTTCATGAATTAAGGTTAAAAAAAGTTACAAAAAAGAATTGTTTAATTTTGGCTAACTATTTTTGTAAGCACTTAACCAGATTAAGCTATTTAAAAATCAAAATGCTAAAAAAATGATCAAGAAGTAGGAATCTAGGAGTTCTTGGCCAATAACTCAATACTATATATATAGAGCAATTCTTAAGTAGGGTTTTAAGTACATGTATGTATAAAAACTGCACTAATTAAACTAGAGTGGATCACAACCAAAAATGCATGACTGCTGTACCAGGTAAAAAAATAATGGATAAAATCATTCTATTTAAAACTCTTAGCTACCAAAAATAATTATCTATCAATGACATAGTGAGTTCCATTAGTGTCCTTTTTATAAAATATATTAATTATATGTCAAGTTATTCCTCAAACTTTGAAACAAAAATACATTAAAGGTATATACAGAATCAGTCAAAATTTTTAAAATAAAGGAGAGTGCATCAAGTCATTAAAAAATATTAATTATACTTTTACCGTATATGCTAAAGTACAGCATGACTGCATAAAGGTAAACCCCCGACTTTCTGCCCAAAAATCTTTGCTCATTCATGTCTCTTGTACAAGCCTACCCTAGTTCTTGAGGGACAGAAGAGGAACATCAGAGAATTAAAATACTGAATGCGGTATTCTCTTCTTTGCACACAAAAAAATATAGTGCTTAATAAAGTTTAGCCTAACAAAAGTACAAGACTAAAATAAAGTGGAAAATTATCTCTGATTGAAAATGTGTTGGAATCATTACATCAAGGTCTTGCTTCATGAAAAACAAAAGCAGTCTTTCACACTAATAAGAACAGAGGAGCACTGTAGCAGGCCTACTGGCTGATACTAGGTAGGTCCTACTCATTGCTGTCATTCTCATTCAGAGGATTAAAAAACTCCCCCAAGCCAAACATCTTGATAAATACCAATGTTATACACATGTCTCGCCTCACATTCCCACTCACTGAGAACTCATTTATTAAACAGTGCTTTCTTCCACAAAAACAAAGCAGTAATGCAGTAAGCCTACTGGCTTACTGCCAAACTACAGTTTTCCTGTATGAGGAACATATATGGCAATACTAAAATTATGTGGACAAAGAAACTTGTATGCAATTCAAGACATTTATCAAGGAAATGGTTTGCCATGAGTAGCCTCTTCAGTCCCATGTTTTATAAGAATGAGAAAACAGGACTCAAGAGACCATTCATGGCAAGGAAATATAAAAACTGCAGGAACTCTGCAGTAGGCCTACTAGCCCATGCTAGTCTCAGCTAATTCTTTCCACTTATATACAGCTATTGCCAAGCCAGTGATTTCCTGCATAAAAAAACAAAAATATTTGAACATTGCAATACTAGCTCATTTTATGCAGGTCCTACTCTCATCCAAGCATTTCTAATATGTGTTTGTCAAACATACTTTTAGAACTGAGCAGCAGTAGTAGAAGAATCAAATTACATTTCAAAGATGGAATAACAAGCTAATTTCATCTTCTGACACTGTCCCTCAAACCGTGGTCACACATACAGTACTGTACCATCCGGACTGGATTGAAGAGAGGGTCATGGGGGCAATTACCCAGGGTCCCCCATAAACTGGAGCCCCATACAAGAAAATAATATACACAACAACAGCAAATATTAATTTATAATGAATTTAAAACATAATATAATCCTCTGATATTTGACTGAAGCAAATACCATATTTACAGATAATTTATAACGGTCTTAAAAAGGAATCTATAATAACTATGAAATGCAGTAGTTACAAAATTATTAGAAATATTAGCAGTAATAGTGGAAATAATGATAATAGCAATAATAATAAAACAGGGTTGGAGCCCACACACTGTTTGCCCAGGGGCCCTACATGACTAAATCCAGCATTCATACTGTACCATAGTAACTTGCCATCTCAGCTTGTGAGTTTTGAACATGTTAACCCCCTACTTTGTTCCAAAAAATAAATATTAGAAATCACGGCCTATACTGAAGCATATACAGTATTTGGCAGAAATCGGGTTAAAAAAGAGCCAATAATGGTGCCAATAGAATTTTTTTAAAATTTTGAATACAACCATAGGGAATCACAAACTTTCATGAATTCTCCTACAGTAAATTTTTTACAAAACATCAACAAGGTCCCAAGTAGCGAGTTTGGGTGTTGAGCACATGGCCATAGTAATGGATGCTCCAACTTTCTCTTCTCTGGCGGATAAACACAATCCCACAGCTATATTGTAGAGAGCTACCCCCATCTGAAAAAAAAAAAAATTGAAGACAGCCAGTTAAATATGTATGACAGTTTATGGTTCAGAGATGGGTAAAAGGGATTACCAGACCCCATAAATGAAGCAAGACAAATGTAGTAAGCTAATTACCAGATTGAAAACACATTAATTTATAAGTGTAAATCTAATGAATTTCCAATAGTTACTGAAGTACATACATTTTTATTTTATAACATTTTATTGCAAGAACTTTAAAATCAGGTGTATAATAACAATGTTGCAGTAATAGTTTAAATACAATAATAATTCTTGCAGAGCACAAATAATTTCGTGAAGGCTAATGAGAAATCAGCATTATATGTAATAGTCATTCATAATCACTCAGTGACTTGAATGTAACCCCTTAGTGTTGCTGTTAAAATATATCAAGTTAAACACGCTCAACTGGTTATTGATTCCATTCTGAGAGCCACATCTCATGTAACTATCCCATCGTGCTGATGTCAGATAGTTCCAATGATAAATTTGAGATTGACACACTCATTACGGATCAATTTCTGAATCAAAAATTTGTCGTTCCATTCGACATTGAGACCAGCACATTTTTTGAGCCATTTAAATGCCCAAACTCATCCTCTGGATACCACACCAAAGTTTTCAGTTAATCGTAACCCATACAAAAAAGAAAAAAAGAAGCTGCCAGTTATATGCTTGCAGCTTTTGTCATTAATGTTATTTGATATTGATTACATACATCATCATGGCAAGTAGTATAGCTTTTCACCTAAAGAAAAAATTTCTAAGGTAATAAATGCATCAATAGGATAAGGATGACATTCTGTTGCAGATTCAGAGTTCTTCACTACTCAAAGCACGGACATTTAAAACCAACTTCAATTTGATGCACAGTCAGCAGGCAGTTGCTGCAGCAGCCCAGGCCTACAAGTGTAGGAAATTCATATCATAATCTAAAAAGTGAAATTATGTTTGCATTTAAATAATAAGTTAAGCATCACTGGTTTATTGATTTTTTAGTACACCATCTCTGACACTCCATTTGTGTGTGTAGCTTCCAGTACAGTTTGATGCATGCTCATTGGTCCTAACAAATTGGCTGTTCCATCTTTTGAGCTTGAGACGCACCCATTTTCTTCAACCGAGTCAACTCTGATTCACAAAGGTGTTCAGTTACACGATAAACTACAAACACAGATTTTTGCATTCACCTTCTGATTAATTTTTTGATAATCCACTCATCTCTGCCAGCTAATTTTCAAAGAAAATTTCCAGTGGATAAGATAAAGGGAAAGGGTGTATCTGTTAACGATCGGTCATTCCACCCAGGTAGCCGGCCTGAAAACAGACTTCTTACTGATTACAATTCTAGAAGCTTTGCTCCCAGCAGAAGGCTTAATATTAGTATTCAGCAAAATTAAAACATACTAACAAACTTTACATTTCAAAAATAGTACAGCAATAAAGATTTAGAATATAGTACATTCTATGACCTCCAACTTGGGATCATTTAGAAGTTATTCCACTGTATTTGTTTACGATCCAAGTGCTGGTGTTGCTGCCTTTTGCCTTCTTCTGTTTTCTTACTGATCAGCTCTGTATTTCAACTGTCTGTCCAGAATAAAAATTTGATCTTTTAAAGATATTCTATTAATATAAATTATATAGCTCAAGGGAAATTTATACAGGTTTCTGTATATATTAAGTTTATTTTAACAAACGGCTTACCCATGCCTAAAAAAAACAGAATTTATTCTCTTGAATATAATTACAGAAAGGTTAATATTAAATGTATCAACCACTTAAAACGATCAACTTTTCATTTTTTACAACCCACCATGGGAAGGTCTGCGAATTTGTGTCCAACTTACCTTTAATATCCATGTTTGTGTGTATCGAATCCAGTTGAATGTTCGTGCATTTTTGTTTTACTTACATTTATTGTTCTACAGCATTTGTGTATCCAACCACTTGAATTTTGCATTTGTGTTTACAACACTTGACTATTTGAAAGTTTTTGTACCAGAATACTACTAGTATATATTTAAGTATTTTGATGTTCCCACCATGAAACGATTTATTTCTGGTTTAAACACTTGAAGTTTCTACCCTTGTAAACTTATCAACCACTTGAATGTTCTGCAGTTTGTGTTACCAACCACTTGAATGTTCTGCAGTTTGTGTTACCAACCACTTGAATATTCTGCAGTTTGTGTGTTACCAACCACTTGAATGTTCTGCAATTTGTGTGTTACCAACCACTTGAATGTTCTGCAGTTTGTGTGTTACCAACCACTTGAATGTTCTGCAGTTTGTGTGTTACCAACCACTTGAATATTCTGAAGTTTGTGTGTTACCAACCACTTGAATATTCTGCAGTTTTTGTGTTACCAACCACTTGAATGTTCTGCAGTTTGTGTGTTACCAACCACTTGAATATTCTGCAGTTTGTGTGTTACCAACCACTTGAATTTCTGCAAGTTTGTGTGTTACCAACCACTTGAATGTTCTGCAGTTTGTGTGTTACCAACCACTTGAATGTTCTGCAGTTTGTGTGTTACCAACCACTTGAATATTCTGCAGTTTGTGTGTTACCAACCACTTGAATGTTCTGCAGTTTGTGTGTTACCAACCACTTGAATATTCTGCAGTTTGTGTGTTACCAACCACTTGAATATTCTGCAGTTTGTGTGTTACCAACCACTTGAATATTCTGCAGTTTGTGTGTAACCAACCACTTGAATGTTCGGCAGTTTGTGTGTTACCAACCACTTGAATATTCTGCAATTTGTGTGTTACCAACCACTTGAATGTTCTGCAGTTTGTGTGTTACCAACCACTTGAATGTTCTGCAGTTTGTGTGTTACCAACCACTTGAATGTTCTGCAGTTTGTGTGTTACCAACCACTTGAATGGTCTGCAATTTGTGTGTTACCAACCACTTGAATGTTCTGCAATTTGTGTGTTACCAACCACTTGAATGTTCTGCAGTTTGTGTGTTACCAACCACTTGAATGTTCTGCAGTTTAAATGTTATCAACCACTTGAATGTTCTGCAGTTTGTTATCAACCACTTGAATGTTCTGCAGTTTGTGTGTTACCAACCACTTGAATGTTCTGCAGTTTGTGTGTTACCAACCACTTGAATGTTCTGCAGTTTGTGTGTTACCAACCACTTGAATGTTCTGCAGTTTGAGTGTTATCAACCACTTGAATGTGTCTGCAATTTGTGTTTTCAACCACTTGAATGTTCTGCAGTTTGTGTTACCAACCACTTGAATATTCTGCAGTTTGAATGTTACCAACCACTTGAATGTTCTGCAGTTTGTGTGTTACCAACCACTTGAATGTTCTGCAGTTTGTTATCAACCACTTGAATGTTCTGCAGTTTGTGTTACCAACCACTTGAATGTTCTGCAGTTTGTGTTACCAACCACTTGAATGTTCAGCAGTTTGTGTTACCAACCACTTGAATGTTCTGCAGTTTAAATGTTATCAACCACTTGAATGTTCTGCAGTTTGTTATCAACCACTTGAATGTTCTGCAGTTTGTGTTACCAACCACTTGAATATTCTGCAGTTTGAATGTTATCAACCACTTGAATGTTCTGCAGTTTGTGTGTCAACCACTTGAATGTTCTGCAGTTTGTGTGTTACCAACCACTTGAATGTTCTGCAGTTTGAATGTTACCAACCACTTGAATGTTCTGCAGTTTGTGTGTTACCAACCACTTGAATGTTCTGCAGTTTGTGTGTTACCAACCACTTGAATGTTGTGCAGTTTATGTTTATCAACCACTTGAATGTTTGCAGTTTGTTTACAACCACTTGAATGTTCTGCAGTTTGTTGTTACCAACCACTTGAATATTCTGCAGTTTAAATGTTATCAACCACTTAATGTTCTGCAGTTTTCTGTCAACCACTTGAATGTTCTGCAGTTTGTGTTACCAACCACTTGAATATTCTGCAGTTTGAATGTTACCAACCACTTGAATGTTTGCAGTTTGGTGTTACCAACCACTTGAATGTTCTGCAGTTTGTGTGTTACCAACTACTTGAATGTTCTGCAGTTTGTGTTACCAACCACTTGAATGTTGTGCAGTTTGTGTGTTACCAACCACTTGAATGTTGTGCAGTTTGTCTGTTACCAACCACTTGAATGTTGTGCAGTTTAAATGTTACCAACCACTTGAATGTTCTGCAGTTTGTGTGTTACCAACTGCTTGAATGTTCTGCAGTTTGTGTGTTACCAACCACTTGAATGTTCTGCAGTTTGTGTGTTACCAACCACTTGAATGTTGTGCAGTTTAAATGTTACCAACCACTTGAATGTTCTGCAGTTTGTTACCAACCACTTGAATGTTCTGCAGTTTGTGTTACCAACCACTTGAATATATCGTGAGGTGTTTAAATTGAGTATGCAGTTTGGTTACAACACTTGTAATGTAGATATATATGTACAACTAATGAATGTTCCTGCAGTTATGTGTGTTACCACTGCTTGAAGTTCTGCGTTGAGTGTGGTGACAACATTTGAATGTTATGCCATTGTGTCACTCAACCAACTAGAGGATCTCTTTTGATGTTAAAGCACTTGAATGTTTGCGTTTGTATACAACCACTTGGAATTCTGAGGTAGTACAACTACTGAAATATTCTGCAGTTTGAATGTTACCAACCACTTGAATGTTCTGCAGTTTGTGTTACCAACCACTTGAATATTCTGCAGTTTGAATGTTACCAACCACTTGAATGTTCTGCAGTTTGTGTGTTGCCAACCACTTGAATGTTCTGCAGTTTGTGTGTTACCAACCACTTGAATGTTCTGCAGTTTAAATGTTACCAACCACTTGAATGTTGTGCAGTTTAAATGTTTCCAACCACTTGAATGTTCTGCAGTTTGTGTGTTACCAACCACTTGAATGTTCTGCAGTTTAAATGTTACCAACCACTTGAATGTTCTGCAGTTTGTGCTACCAACCACTTGAATGTTCTGCAGTTTAAATGTTACCAGCCACTTGAATGTTCTGCAGTTTGTGTTACCAACCACTTGAATGTTCTGCAGTTTGTGTGTTATCAACCACTTGAATGTTCTGCAGTTTAAATGTTACCAACCACTTGAATGTTCTGCAGTTTGTGTTATCAACCACTTGAATGTTCTGCAGTTTAAATGTTACCAGCCACTTGAATGTTCTGCAGTTTGTGTGTTACCAACCACTTGAATGTTCTGCAGTTTAAATGTTACCAGCCACTTGAATGTTGTGCAGTTTGTGTGTTACCAACCACTTGAATGTTCTGCAGTTTGTGTTACCAACCACTTGAATGTTCTGCAGTTTGTGTGTTATCAACCACTTGAATGTTCTGCAGTTTGTGTGTTACCAACCACTTGAATGTTCTGCAGTTTGTGTTACCAACCACTTGAATGTTCTGCAGTTCAAATGTTACCAACCACTTGAATGTTCTGCAGTTTGTTTGTTACCAACCACTTGAATGTTCTGCAGTTTGTGTGTTACCAACCACTTGAATGTTCTGCAGTTTGTGTGTTACCAACCACTTGAATGTTCTGCAGTTTGTTTGTTACCAACCACTTGAATGTTCTGCAGTTTGTGTTACCAACCACTTGAATGTTCTGCAGTTTGTGTTACCAACCACTTGAATGTTCTGCAGTTTGTGCTATCAAACACTTGAATGTTCTGCAGTTTGTGTGTTACCAACCACTTGAATATTCTGCAGTTTGTGTGTTACCAACCACTTGAATGTTCTGCAGTTTGTGTTACCAACCACTTGAATGTTCTGCAGTTTGTGTGTTACCAACCACTTGAATGTTCTGCAGTTTGTGTGTTACCAACCACTTGAATGTTCTGCAGTTTGTTTGTTACCAACCACTTGAATGTTCTGCAGTTTGTTTGTTACCAACCACTTGAATGTTCTGCAGTTTGTGTTACCAACCACTTGAAAGTTCTGCAGTTTGTTTGTTACCAACCACTTGAATGTTCTGCAGTTTGTGTGTTACCAACCACTTGAATGTTCTGCAGTTTGTTTGTTACCAACCACTTGAATGTTCTGCAGTTTGTGTTACCAACCACTTGAAAGTTCTGCAGTTTGTGTGTTACCAACCACTTGAATGCTCTGCAGTTTGTGTGTCGGATAATTTGTTGTCTCTTCTATCTTACAGAGAGCCCATGACTCATTCCAAAAGTTTCCATTGGTGAACTTTTTCCTTGCTTCCTTAAAACCTTGAACAGACTCTTCAACCTCTCCTGAATAACCAACATGACAGGAGGAATATTTCTCTGGTTTCAGTCCCTGATCAATACATTGTAAAACTTTTCTATATTCCGATATGTTACTACAAGATCATTAATCTAAATGCAGAGACATATCACAAGTTAGGCAAGATTCGTCAGGAAAAAGGACAAGTGTTTCCTGATGTGGGTCTTAGTCATATGGTGAACTGCCACTGGAGCTTTTGGTCATCTAAGTGAGGCCTTCCACTGGCTCACTGGTCCACCCCCTTTAAAAATTAGGGTTATACATATCGCATACACTGACCATTTGATATCATTTTTCACACAATCAATGCTTGCTATCACTTTCTCATGACAAACACAGTTAATAAACACTGCTGAATAGGGAAGACTGCTTCTGTGACGCTGGTTTCTTGGCAGTATCAACCAACAGTAAATTTTGTGACTTCCTTTCATCCTTCATACAACTGCAAATCTCAACTTAATGTTGTTGTGGAACCCATACTGGCTGTCAAAATTTTTTTTAAGCAAAATGTAGGGAGTAGACCTATTTGTAGGTAATATTTTTTGAAGAGTTGAAATCTATATATGTACAGTGGTACCTCGAGTTTCAGCCATAATTCGTTCCAGATGGCTGTTAGAGTGCCATTACTGAATAAATTTATTCCCATGAGGAATAATGTAAATTAAATTGGTCCGTTTCAGACCCCCAAAAACAGTTACAAAAGCACTTACAAAAATACACTTACATAATTGTTCGAGTTGGGAGCTGTTCGAAACTCGAGGTACCACTGTATGTTGTGTCTAGCTGACATAGCTAATTTAACTACTCCACAATGGAAGCAGATCTTATACAGATTTAGGAGCAATTCTATTTACTAAGTACAGTGTACCACATTGATATAGCCAAAATTAGATTTCCTGAGAGAGAAAAAAAAAAAAAATCTAAAATGTGCTTGATATCGACCCTTCTGTTATACTGGAATTTGTTTTCATATTGTACATCTACTGCACATGATACTTTTACCATCTGAAATGAAGTTAGGTCACATAATCAAACACTACGCTCTCCCTACAGGGTGACGGCATAGAAGTATATAGTGTACACAAGCATCTTTATATTATCTCTTACCTTATAATCATCCAACCAAACATGAGCCACTCTTAATGAGTTTCGCAAGAGGGAATCCTGCCCTCCTGGTCCCCCATAGGGTCGGCGGCGGCGGAAAATGTGCCCCACACGAGAACAAGGTATAATTTCCAGCTCCCCGCCACACATCCATATCTTGAAAGAAACAGAAGCAATCAACACAATAGACACATAATTTAATCATGATAAATTCTATAATTATTTGTAAAAACTTCACATATGAACCACTTACAAAAAATTTCAAGAGGGACTCACCCTAAATGACATTTCAAGATTCTCTCCACCCCAGACATCCATTCCTGTGTCATATTCACCAAGTTCTTTGAAATAGTTACGATCCATAGCAAAAAGACCTCCTGCCATGGTAGGAGATCTAAAATATCAGAAATTTAAACAAAATTATAAAAACGAATATTAGCTATTATTTTTTTTTTTTCAACAAGTCAGCCGTCTCCCACCGAGGCAGAGTGACCCAAAGAGAAAGAAAATCCCCAAAAAGAAAATACTTTCATCATCATTCAACACTTTCACCTCACTCACACAATCAGTTTTTGCAGAGGTGCCCAGAATACAACAGTTTAGAAGTATATACGTATAAAAATACACAATATATCTCTCCAAACTGCCAATATCCCAAACCCCTCCTTTAGAGTGCAGGTATTGTACTTCCCATTTCCAGGACTCAAGTCCGGTTATATAAAATAACTATCATTTTTTTTTTATTTTTTTTTTTTTTCAACAAGTCGGCCGTCTCCCACCGAGGCAGGGTGACCCAAAAAAGAAAGAAAATCCCCAAAAAGAAAATACTTTCATCATCATTCAACACTTTCACCACACTCACACATTATCACTGCTTTTGCAGAGGTGCTCAGAATACAACAGTTTAGAAGCATATACGTATAAAGATACACAACATATCCCTCCAAACTGTTATTATTATTATTATTTTTAACACTCCAGCTGTTTCCCACTGAGGCAGGGTGACAACAAAGAAAACCCTTCACTATCGCTTATTCAATCACTGTCTTGCCAGAAGGGCAATGACATGATAATTCAGATACCCCTCTAAACTATAACATCCCCACCCTTCCTTCAGAGTGCAGGCACTGTACCTCCAGGACTCAAGTCCAGCTAACTGGTTTGCCTGAATCCCTTCATGAATGTTACCTTACTCACATTCCAACAGTCAGTCATATATTATTATTATTATTTTTTTTCAACATGTCAGCCATCTCCCACAGACAAGGTGACCCAAAAAGAAACACTTTCACCATAATTCACACATGATCACTGTCTTTGCAGAGGCGCTCAGATACAAAGTTTAGCTGTCATTTCAAACAGCCAATATTCCAAACCCCTCCTTTTAAAGTGCAGGCATTGTACTTCCCACCTCTAGGACTCTAAGTACAGCTAACTGGTTTTCCTGAATCCCTTCACAAAATATTATCCTGCTCACACTCCAACAGCTCGACAGGTCCCAAAAACAATTCGTCTCCACTCACTCTTATCTAACACACTCACACATGCCTGCTTCATGTACAAGCCCCTTGCACACAAAACTTTTTCTAGGATGACCCTACTCCTCCCCTCCACTAAAGATTTATACACCCTCCAAGTCATTGTTATTCATAGGGAAGATCTAGAAATATAAGAATCATACAGAGCCTGGGCAATGAGAAGTGATCAGATTTGATCCAAGGAAGGGAAGAAGAGCTCTAGTTCTTTGTATTTAAGAGCTCTTCACCAGTATGAAGACACCCCATTGAAGGGTAACAACATTATATAGTACACTTAAAAGTCTTAAGAAAAAAATTGCATTTATTCCACATTCCTAGATCCTGCAACATGCATCAATTATTAAACACCAAAAATATCAAACAAGTGGTTATTATTATGATTTAAGTTGCAAAATCAAGCAAGATTCATTACCAATGAAAGGGTACAGTATGGAAACAGAAGCTTCTATACACAAACCTGCTGAAAATGAGAGCCATGTTAAGTTAATTTTAAATATCTCATCTTAGAAACTTGATTTCCAACCAGACATCCACTCCAAGCCTTTCCTACATGAAACTTCTGAAGCCACTCACTGGATGTAGTGTGTGTGTGTGTGTGTGTGTGTGTGTGTGTGTGTGTGTGTGTGTGTGTGTGTGTGTGTGTGTGTGTGTGTGTGTGTGTGTGTGTGTGTGTGTGTGCGTGTGTGTGTGTGTGTGTGTGTGTGTGTACTCACCTATTTGTACTCACCTATTTGTGGTTGCAGGGGTCGAGTCCTAGCTCCTGGCCCCGCCTCTTCACCGGTTGCTACTAGGCCCTCTCTTCCCCGCTCCATGAGCTTTATCAAACCTCGTCTTAAAACTGTGTATGGTTCCTGCCTCCACTACGTCATTTTCTAGGCTATTCCACTGCCTTACAACTCTATGACTGAAGAAATACTTCCTACTATCTCTCTGACTCATTTGTGTCTTCAACTTCCAATTGTGGCCTCTTGTTTCTGTGTCCCCTCCCTGGAACATCCTGTCCTTGTCCACCTTGTCTATTCACGCAGTATATTATATGTCGTTATCATGTCTCCCCTGACCCTCCTGTCCTCCAGTGTCGTCAGGCCGATTTCCCTTAATCTTTCTTCATAGGACATTCCCCTTAGCTCTGGAACTAACCTTGTCGCAAACCTTTGTACTTTCTCTAGTTTCTTGACGTGCTTTATCAAGTGCGGGTTCCAAACAGGTGCTGCATACTCCAGTATGGGCCTGACATACACGGTGTACAGTGTCTTGAATGATTCCTTACTAAGGTATCGGAATGCTGTTCTCATGTTTGCCAGGCGCCCATATGCTGCAGCAGTTATCTGATTGATGTGTGCTTCCGGAGACATGCTCAGTGTTATACTCACCCCAAGATCTTTCTCCTTGAGTGAGGTTTGCAGTCTTTGGCCACCTTTCTCCTTGAGTGAGGTTTGCAGTCTTTGGCCACCTAGCCTATACTCTGTCTGTGGTCTTCTGTGCCCTTCCCCTATCTTCATGACTTTGCATTTGGCAGGATTAAATTCGAGAAGCCATTTGCTGGACCAGGTGTCCAGTCTGTCCAGGTCTCTTTGAAGTCCTGCCTGGTCCTCATCAGATTTAATTCTCCTCATTAACTTCACATCATCTGCAAACAGGGACACTTCTGAGTCTAACCCTTCCGTCATGTCGTTCACATATACCAAAAATGAATGTGTGTGTGTGTGTGTGTGTGTGTGTGTGTGTGTGTGTGTGTGTGTTTTCTTACATCTTTTATGTTAACTTAATAAAGCTCTAAGAGTGAAATATTGTCACAATAAAAGGATGCTCTGCAGCTGTGTCTTTTCTTCATAGGTGAGCAGAGGTGAGTGGTGCAAAGGTGCCTTACCCAAGATGTTTAATTCCAGCCAAATTACATCTTACGGCAGAGTAAATTAAAGTAACTCAACACTAACACCTGTTCCCAAAGGGCAGAGGAGCACTGCAATAGGCCAACTTGCCCAAGCTAGGAAAGAAAGAGGAAACAAGAAAAGAGAAATCAGAAGACAGGAAAGGCAAAGGAAAGTCAGAAGACAGGTCAATAAGAAAGGTGAGGAGGAAGAAAAGATCATGTTATGTCACAAGTTGAAGAATGAGACACTGGTGCAATATTTGAGAATCTTTACCGAGTCCAATACTGAAGAAGTAACTGGCTGGGAAAACTTTTCCTCAATAAAGATTCCCATATGTTGCACAAGTGTCTCATTCTTCAACATGTCGTTTTTCAAAACCATTTTCATCACGTGTCAAGAGTAGTCAATTCCACCTGTAATTGATCCATAATAACACTTGCTTACAAGGATCAAATAATAATAACTACACTAGAAGATTCTGGTTCATCTTTTCTGCAAATTATTTCAAAGCTTGAAATTATGCTGTCATATCTGAGCACCTCTGCAAAGACAGTGATTATGTATGAGTGATGGTGAAAGTGTTGAATGATGATGAAAGTTTTTTTCTTTCCTTTTGGGTCACCCTGCCTCGGTGGGAAACGGCTGATGTGCTAAAAACAAAAAAAAAGATTATGGACTTTCCAATGTTATCACAATCAAACTCAAATATCTAATTAATTTACTGTTTGTAAAGATAACAAAATAGCAGAAAATATTTAATATATGAAAAAAATACTAGTTCAGCAAAATATTGATAATCCTTTTCAGACTTACCTAATAGGCTTGACAAAATTACTTTTGTCAGCAAAATACAATGCTGGAATTGTATCCCACTTGAAATGGAGACCCCAATTAAAGCCCCCACGCACCAGAGGGGAGGCAGAATACTGAAAATACGGAAAAGAACGTACAGTTGTGGTTTATAAAAAAAACTTACAAGGTAAACCCTTGTGATCCGCAACTCTTAATTTAAATTTACATGCTTACCAATGACTACAGTATACTGTAAAAAAAATCCTGAGACTGATATACCTTTACCTTTGATGAGTTCCTAGAGTTTTTCTAATTCCAGAGACCAGCCTTGGCCCAGGCTCGTCTGGCGCTTGCCTGGTTAACCAGGCTGTTGCTGCTGGTAGCCCACTGGCCCACACATATTCAAAGAATAAATATCGTGTTGCTTCCTTCATATGTTGGTAGATTAAATCCTGTCATTGTAGTAAGGAAATCTATTGACAATTTATTTACAGTTCCAGCCTCATACACTGCCCATTTATTTCCAGTCACAGTATTGTGCCTTTTTTTATTTATTTATTTATTTATAGTTAAAATCTCCAAGTATTATAACTGTCTCCTTATCACAATCACTTCATCTTTTTAAAATATAAAATATGAAAATTTTTAAAATAAAAATAAACATTGTCTTCAGTTGTAGGTTTCACTTTACATTGTTTCAAATGGTGCACTATACTAAGACAGTAGAGAAGAGTCTGTGCCTGGACACTAAGGTAAGTTTGGATGAAACTGTCTTGGTTTGTGCCAATGCTGACATGCCACAGAGTAAAGAGCGCACAGTTGGTATCATATACATACATGTCCACGAGTTTGCCTTCAGCACGCTATTTGCCCAACACATTCGAGAAGAGCCAGAGCAATTTTTGTATGAAAGGCATTATAAAAAAGTAATATTAACTCAGGTTTCAATTGCAGTGATTTATAACTGGATTAAAATGAGGAATAAACTGAAAATATATATACAGTACTAACTGAAAGATTTAACTGTATACATCATGGAAACTCACTTGAAAAGTGTCAGGAGAAATTACATCAATGATTGGAGTGACTACATGGTTGTGGTGTTCTGACACTCGTGCCAACAATGGCTCCATCCAGCCTACATTCACTTCAACATGGCTATCTAAGAAGACAAGCACCTGTAAAGAAGAAACAAGCAGTTGAAATACAATACGCCACATTTTTTTTTCAACAAATTGGCAGTCTCCCACTGAGGGAGGGTGATCCAAAAAAGAACAAACACTTTCACTCACTCCATCTTGTCAGAGTGGTGGAAATACTACAGCTCAAAAACTGCAAATATTCCCATCCCACCTTCAGAGTGCAGACAATGTACTTCTCTTCTCATGTATCCCTTCACATTACCTTGCTCAAACTCCAACAGCATATTAAGTCATAAAAAACCCTTGCATCCACTCAATCCTATCTACCACAATTACACACTAGATGTACATATACAAACATTCATGTGCACATGCCTCTTCATCCCATGAAATCACAAAGGAAAAAATAACATGATGAATAATTTCCAAAATATGTTTAAAAAAAATCCAGAACTTGGGTAATTTAGACTATCATGATCGGCAAAAATTATGTAATGCAGAATGTTTGATTTTAAGTTATAAATATTCTGTATTTTTTTTTTTTACTGTAATTAAGAGAAGCCACAAGTTTAAGTAAAATATGAACTGGAGGACATTTTCCAAGACTACAAGGCTTTATGTGCCAGCAGCAAAAATTGTATAGAATGTATGAATAAACAGACATTGGATAACCTTAACACTTTCACTTCCAATCCTAAGGAAAACAGTAAAATACTGTTAGTGTATGAAAAGTTTTGATATACCAAAACTAGTTCCATCAAAGCTAACATAGCCTAACACTACTAAATATTTACTTAATATAAAGTAATTTACTTACTGTATCCAAGAATTTGCATAAACTATATTTTACTCCTTTCCTGAGTGGAGGGCAAATCATTAGGAGACCTAACAGATTTTACAAAAAAAAAAATCACTGCTTACCTGGCCAGTAGCATGTCTGGCACCGAAAACACGTGCTCGGATCAGACCCTCCCTCTGGGGTGTTTTGAGAACACAGACTTTATTGCTGATTCCTTTCATCTCGTCTAACACCTCAGCATGATACTTCTCTGAAAGAAATTATATTTGTCTAGTAATTTTAAAAATTAAATGGCCACCCCGTGTCAGTGGGATACGGCCGGTGTGTTCAAAGAAAGAAAGAAGAAATTCATACAAAAAAAAAAAAAAAATTCAGGCCTTTATCCATTGTATTTCATGAAGCACTAAACCTATATGGGTCATTCACTTCAAAGTGGGAGACATTCAGTCCTCCCTTTACTAAACATAGCCTAGTCTCTGTCCAGTCAAGTTGCTGGTGATCCAAAAGTTTCTGTTAACTGATGTTAAAATTTAAATATTCAGCAAAGATTGGGCAATGTTTGTTTAGGTCTTTGAGGTTACCCATAAAGGCTGTTCTGTCAGTGTGTGGAAACCTGTACAATGAACCACCTTTAACTGGAGGTGTTTGAATTACTGATTTTAAGTTGTGCAAATGTGTATCTATCAAAACCAATTCTAGTGGAAAAGAATCGTTCCTCTGTAAGCCAAGCGTGTCGGATGAGGCGACTAAAATGCCGGGAACAGTAGGCTAATAACCTCTTCTCCTGTAGAAAATACTAAAAAAGAGATGAAAAACTTTATAAGACTAGGATACTTGAATGTGCATGGATGTACTGCGGATGATAAGAAAGAGATGATTGCTAATGTTATGAATGAAAAGAAGTTGGATGTCCTAGCTCTAAGTGAAACAAAGCTGAAGAGGGTAGGCGAGTTTCAGTGGGAAGAAATAAATGGTATTAAATCAGGAGTATCTGAGAGCTAATGAAGGGGTAAGGAAGGGGTAGCAATAATGTTGAAGGATCAGTTATGGAAGGAGAAGAGGGAATATAAATGTATAAATTCAAGGATTATGTGAATTAAAATAAGGGTCACAGGTGAAAAGTGGGTCATAATAAGTGTGTATGCACCTGGAGAAGAGAGGAGTGTAGAGGAGAGAGAGAGAGATTTTGGGAGATGTTAAGTGTGTAGGAACTTTTGAACCAAGTGAGTGTGGTAGGGGACCTAAATGCTAAAGTAGGAGAAACATTTAAAGAGGGTGTAGTAGGTAAGTTTGGGGTGCCAGGTGTAAATGATAATGAGGGCCTTTTGATTGAACTTTGTATAGAAAGGGATTTGGGTATAGGTAATACATGTACATATTTTAAGAAAAAGAGGATAAATAAGTATACAAGATATGATAGTAGGCATAATGACAGTAGTTTGTTGGACTATGTATTGGAAAATAAAAGACTAATGGGTAGACTTCAAGATGTACATGTTTACAGAGGGGACAAAGATATATCAGATCACTTTTTAGTTGTAACTACAGTGAGAGTAAAAGGTAGATGGCATACAAGGAAAAATGGAAGCAGCAAGGGAAGCTAAATGAGGAGGCAGTTAGGGTAAGATATAAACAACTATTGGAGGATAGATGGGCAAGTGAGAGTATAGGCAATGGGCTTGAAGATGTATGGGGTAGGTTTAAGAATGTAGTGTTAGTGTTCATCAGAAGTTTGTGGTTACAGGAAAGTGGGTACGAGAGGGAAGAAGAGCGATTGGTGGAATGATGTAAAGAGAGTAGTAAGAGAGAAAAAGTTAGCATATGAGAGGTTTTTACAAAGCAGAAGTGATGCAAGGAGAGAGGAGTATATGAAAAAGAAGAGAGAAGTTAAGAGAGTAGTGGGTGAGATGTTATCAACAAATTTTGTTGAAAATAAGAAAAAATTTTGGAGTGAGATTAAGTTGAGGAAACCTGGGAACGAATGAATTTGAGAGTTAAAAATAGGAGAGGAGTTATTAAATGAGAGTTAGAGGTATTGGGAGGATGGAGAGAATATTTTGAGGAATTGTTAAATGTTGAAGATAGGGAAGCTGTAGTTTCGTGTATAGGGCAAGGAGGAATAACATTTTGTAGGAGTGAGAAGGGGGTAAGGTGGGAATTGAGATGGGAATGAATATGATTATGAGAATGTTAAAAACAGGTGGGGATATAGTAGGCCTTAGATAAGGATGTGTGATGTCACCATGGTTGTTCAATATATTTATAGATGGGGTTGTAAGAGAAGTGAATGCTCAGGTGTTGCCAAAAGATGTGGGGTTAAAAGATAAAGAATCTAACACAAAGTGGGAGTTGTTACAGTTGCTCTTTGCTGATGACACTGTGCTTTTGGGAGATTCTGAAAAGAAGTTGCAGAGGTTGGTGGATGAATTTGGTAGGGTATGCAAAAGAAGAGAATTAAAAGTGAATATAGGAAACAATAAGGTGATGAGGATAACAAAAAAAATTAGGCATTGAAAGATTGGATATCAGATTGGAGGGAGAGAGTATGGAGGAGTGAATGTATTAAGATATTTAGGAGTGGACGTGTCAGCAGATGGATCAATGAAAGATGAGGTGAATCATAGAACTGACAAGGAGAAAAAGGTGAATAGTGTACTGAGGAGTCTGTGGAGACAAAGAACTTTGTCCATGGAAGCAAAGAGGGGGAATGTATGAGGGTATAGTTATATCAACGTTTTTATATGGGTGCAAAACATGGGTGGTGAATGTTGCAACAAGGAGAAGGCTGGAGGCAGTGGAGATGTGTCTGAGGGCAATGTGCGGTGTGTATATAATGCAGAGAATTCGTAGTTCAGAAATTAGGAGGAGGTGCGGAATTACCAAAACTATTATCCAGAGGGGTCGTCAAGGTGGTTTAGACATGTAGAGAAGATGGAACAAAATAGAATGACTTTGAGAATGCATAAATCTGTAGTGGAGGGAAGGCAGGGTAGAGGTCAGGCCTAGGAAAGGTTGGAGGAAGGGGGTAAAGGAGGTTTTGTGTGCGAGAGGCTTGGACTTCCAGAAAGCATACGTGAGTATGTTAGATAGGAGTGAATGGAGACAAATGGTTTTTAGGACTTTATGTGCTGTTGGAGTATGAGCAGGGTAATATTTATGAAGGGATTCAGGGAAACTGGCAGGCCGGACTTCAATCCTGGATATGGGAAGTACAGTGCCTGCACTCTGAAGGAGGGGTGTTAATGTTGCAGTTTATAACTGTAGTGTAAGCACACCTCTGGCAAGGCAGTGATGGAGTGAATTATGATGAAAGTTTTTCTTTTTCGGGCCACCCTACCTTGGTGGGAAATGGCCGATGTGTTATTAAAAAAAAAATGGTTTTTATACCCAACATTAGCACAATAACTTCCAGTTCACATACCCCTTGCTATATGGGCTGCATGTCCATACAAGATGAAATAATCTGTGAATGGAAAAAACCAAGAATATACATTGTTTTCATTGTATTTCATAAAGAGCTACACCTGTGTGTGTCACTGCTAATCATACCTCTCACTTTTACTAATCAGATTGCTGATGATCTCAGATATGTATATGAAAAGATTGACAATACATGAAGAGGAACATACACCAAGTGCACAAAAACAATAAATGACAGACAAGTAGGTAGTTAAACATGCAAGATAAAAGGTATATCTTGCTACTTCTACTTACACTTAGATGACACTACACATGCATATAAATGCATATATATTTACACACTCATCTGGGTTTTCTTCTACTTTCTTAACAGTTATTGTTCTTCTTTATTTCCTATCTCCATGGGGAAGTAAAAAAAAATTCTTCCTTAGTAAGCCATGTGTGTCGTAGGAGGCGACTATAATGCTGGGAGCAAGGGGCTAGTAACCTCTTCTCCTGTATAAATTACTAAAATTAAAAAGAAAAACTTTTGTTTTTCTATTTAGGTTACCCTGCCTCATTGGGATACACCCAGGTCATTGGAAAAATAAGTATATACAGTGGACCCCTGAGTTTCGGCAGCATCAACTTTCGTGAAATTCGACTTTCGGCAAGTTTTTGACAAAATTTGGCCTCAAGTTTCGTGATTAGACTCGTGATTCGGCAACCGTCTGATACCCGTCCGCCCATCACCGCGCACACACAAAGGCAGTCTCCCACGCCATTCACACTCAGTGTGCCATTGTTTACCAACACGTGACCATCACCCCGCGGGTTCATACGTAATAATCCATTGTTTTTTGTGATTGCAACTGCTAAATAAGTCACCTTGGGCCCAAGGAAAGCTAGTGCAAGCCCTTTGGTAAAGAAAGCAAAGAACATGATCCAGAGGAATTTTGAAGGGTTTGAGGCAGACCCTGACCCTGCCGACCCTCTGCTTGTTGTGGAAGGTGTTGAGGCATTGGACAAGTCCATGGGGTTGGAGGTGAGTGACGGGGATGTGGAAGAGTTGGTGGAGGACCACAGGGAAGAGCTAACCAATGATGAACTGCAAGAGCTTCAACTGGAACAGCATCAGACCACAGCAGAGGAACTTGCTTCAGAGGAGGAGGAAAAGAGAGTGAAGGAGGTGCCTTCTTCGGTGATTAAGGACATGTGTTCAAAGTGGAACGAGTTGCAAAGTTTTTTTGAAAAGTATCACCCTGACCAAGCTGAAACAAGCCATATCTGCAACATGTTCAGTGACAAAACCTTGTCCCACCTCAGGCAAATCATAAAGAAATGCCAGAAACAGACCTCTCTGGACATGTGCGACAGGGGTCCAGTGACTCTCAAGTTGTTCTCAGTGGCATTAAAAGAAAAAGGGAAGTAACCCCAGAAAAGGACTTGCTACCTGAAGTCCTAATGGAAGGAGATTCTCCTTCCAAACAATAGTGTACACCTTCCTCCTATCCCCTCCTCCCATCTTCCATCCACCCAGAAGTCTTCAGTAAAGGTAAGTGTAATGCTATTATTATTTTTTATATGCATGTACTTGATTTCTGATTGTTTTCAGTATGTAAATCTTTATTTAATTTGAAAAAAAAAATTATTTTAATATTGTTGGGTGTCTGGAACGGATTAATTTTATTTCCATTATTTCTTATGGGGAAAATGGTTTCGAGTTTCGTGAATTTCGACTTTCGGCAGGCTCTCTGGAACGGATTAATCACGAAACTCGGGGGTCAACTGTATATAGCTAAAATCAATTCTGATGACCTGTGAAAATATGAAGCCCTAACAAGAATATACACAGAAATTCAAGTGTTTCCTGTTCATTTCTGTTAAGCTTACCTTCATTTGTGTCATCAATTAGCAAGATTTCATGTAGGAGATGGGAAGGTGTCCGGTCAAGAATGGAATGTACTGTTCGAAGCAAAGCAGAATGATCTTCTCGAAAAAAGCATATTACAATAGATGCTGATGGAAGCTGGGACGGATACTCTATATCCTTACATCTGTAACGAAGACAGCTCAATTTTAATGTAGTTGAAATTGAGAAGTAATACAAAAAACACAATACAAAAATCAGTGCAGTGCTCTACAGTACTTAGAAATATGCTTCAAATTAGCATTAGTTAGTATTTCTAATATTATAACTTTAGTAAGCAAATGCTACTTTGCATGTAACTACCTACAGTTTATGTTATCTTACTGTATTAAAATACAAACTAAATACAGTACTTTTAGAATGATATGGAAATGAGATGATGATGATTTTTTATTTATATATATATATATATATATTATATATATATATATATATATAAAATCTTTTATAATAAATCTATATATATATTAATCTATATATATATATATCTATATAATTATATATCTATATATTATATTATCTATATTATATTTTATTTATATATATATATATATATATAATATATATATATATATTATATAATATATATATATATATATATATTATATATTATATAAATATATATATTATATATTATGCATAAGATCACAGTAAAAACAGGTATTTCAAAATATCAAAAAAAACCACTCTGAAAGAATAGAAAATTTCCCAAACACTTTGTGACTACTCAATAATGTGATAAGTGAGTAGTCAGAAAAAGCTTGGAATTTCTCTATTCTTTCAGAGTGTTTTTGCATATTATATTATATATATATATTTATTTTTTTTTTTTTTTTTTTTTTTTAACAAGTGGTCATTCCCACCCAAGGGGTGACCCAAAAAAGAAAGAAAATCCCCAAAAAGAAAATACTTTCATCATCATTCAACACTTTCACCACACTCACATTATCACTGCTTTTGCAGAGGTGCTCAGAATACAACAGTTTAGAAGCATATACGTATAAAGATACACAACATATCCCTCCAAACTGCCAATATCCCAAACCCCTCCTTTAAAGTGCAGGCATTGTACTTCCCATTTCCAGGACTCAAGTCCGACTATATGAAAATAACTGGTTTCCCTGAATCCCTTCACTAAATATTACCCTTCTCACACTCCAACAGATCGTCAGGTCCCAAGTATCATTCGTCTCCATTTACTCCTATCTAACACGCTCATGCACGCTTGCTGGAAGTCCAAGCCCCTCGCCCACAAAACCTCCTTTACCCCCTCTTTCCAACCCTTTCGAGGACGACCCCTACCCCTCTTTCCTTCCCCTATAGATTTATATGCTTTCCATGTCATTCTACTTTGATCCATTCTCTCTAAATGACCAAACCACCTCAACAACCCCTCTTCTGCCCTCTGACTAATGCTTTTATTAACTCCACACCTTCTCCTAATTTCCACACTCCGAATTTTCTGCATAATATTTACACCACACATTGCCCTTAGACAGGACATCTCCACTGCCTCCAACCGTCTCCTCGCTGCTGCATTTACACCCAAGCTTCACATCCATATAAGAGTGTTGGTACTACTATACTTTCATACATTCCCTTCTTTGCCTCCATAGATAACGTTTTTTGACTCCACATATACCTCAACGCACCACTCACCTTTTTTCCCTCATCAATTCTACGATTAACCTCATCCTTCATAAATCCATCCGCCGACACGTCAACTCCCAAGTATCTGAAAACATTCACTTCTTCCATACTCCTCCTCCCCAATTTGATATCCATTTTTTCTTTATCTAAATCATTTGATACCCTCATCACCTTACTCTTTTCTATGTTCACTTTCAACTTTCTACCTTTACACACATTCTCAAACTCATCCACTAACCTTTGCAATTTTTCTTTAGAATCTCCCATAAGCACAGTATCATCAGCAAAAAGTAACCGTGTCAATTCCCATTTTGAATTTGATTCCCCATAATTTAATCCCACCCCTCTCCCGAACACCCTAGCATTTACTTCCTTTACAACCCCATCTATAAATATATTAAACAACCATGGTGACATTACACATCCCTGTCTAAGACCTACTTTTACCGGGAAGTATTCTCCCTCTCTTCTACACACCCTAACCTGAGCCTCACTATCCTCATAAAAGCTCTTTACAGCATTTAGTAACCACCCAGGGAGGTACTACCGTCCTGCTAAGTGAGTGTAAAATGAAAGCCTGTAATTGTTTTACATGATGGTAGGATTGCTGGTGTCTTTTGTCTGTCTCATAAATATGCAAGATTACAGGTACGTCTTGCTACTTCTACTTACACTTAGGTCACACTACACATACATGTACATGTTTATTTATACACACTCATCTGAGTTTTCTTTGATTTTATCTTAATAGTTCTTGGTCTTATTACTTTTCCTTTTATATCCATGGGGAAGTGGAATAAGAATCTTTCCTCCGTAAGCCATGCGTGTTGTAAAAGTCAACTAAAATGCCGGGAACAATGGGCTAGTAACCCCTTTTCCTGTAAAGATTACTAAAAAGAATAAGAAGAAGATATTTATTTATTTATTTATTTATTTATTTTTAACAAGTCGGCCATCTCCCACCGAGGCAGGGTGACCCAAAAAAGAAAGAAAATCCCCAAAAAGAAAATACTTTCATCATCATTCAACACTTTCACCTCACTCACACATAATCACTGTTTTTGCAGAGGTGCTCAGAATACAACAGTTTAGAAGCATATACGTAAAAAGATACACAACATATCCCTCCAAACTGCCAATAAAGAGAAACAAAAATTGGAAATAGGATGACAGAATGGGAGAAATAACCAGAATGCAAAGATTAAACAACCCACCTATTGTTTCTGGTGTCTGGTATGGGACGATGTAAGGAGAGGCGTGTAGATATAAGTGTATTGAAAGCATGGAGACGATAACCTTTTTCCTTTTCCTGAAAATTAGTTTATACTTAAGCTTCAAAAATTCCATTAGTGTATTATAATAATCATTTTATTTAGTTGATAATAGAGGAAAGCTAGTTAAAGTTTGATTACTTAAAGATGACTGAAGGAGGTACGTATCTTCAGGTGCTCCCTGACTTTTGATGGGGTTATGCTCCAACGAACCTATTATAAATCGAATGTGACTATGATATGTTAAATAAGTAAATAAATGACTACTGTCACTGAACAAGTACATAAATAATTACTGTAACTAAATACCAGTATTGAAAAGTAAATAAATGAACAAAAGTTACACACTTGCCACCTTCATGCTGGGTAATTATCTTAAGTTTCATCTCCAAAGTAATTGCTGTCGCACCATCAAAGTTGAAATACTGTAAGTCGCATCATCGTAAGTCAAGGAGCACCTATAGTCTTTTGTCCAGATACATCTTATGATACAAACCATTTTGTGAAGTAAAAGGCTTGCTTCTTGCTCTTTCTTCTCAGTTACCCTCCCTCCCAACTTTCCTCCTTCCTTTCCACTTGCTATCCTCCCTTGCCCTCTTTTCTCCTTTAACTCTCCTTTCTCTTTCACTCTTATAATTCAATCCCTCCTCTGTCTCTCACTCTCCTTTCCTAATCACTATTTCCTCTTCTTCTTCTTCCTTTCTCTTCTACCTCCTTCCCTCACTTTCCTCCTCCTCCACTCTCTCACTATTCACTTGCTCAAGTCTGTAATGCCCCAGAATGTGCCAATATGTGTCTAGAAACACCACTCCTGCACTACTGCAAAAGCATTTAATAAGCTCCTGTTTCACACACTTATGTCAGGATGGTATTATACCTCCCTGGATGACCAGGGTCTACAAATGTGCTGTACTTCAGCACAGTGATTTAAATTAATATATTACATTCATGGGTGACTCATGAACCAGCAGGTGCCAGTAGAGATCTGGAAGTACAGTAACAAAATATTCTATACAGACAGGTTAGCTGATCTTACCTCTTGATCTTGACGAGTCTTCACCAACCCAAGCTCAGCCAGGACACTTTGATCAGCAGAAACTTCATTATCTACTATTTCATTTTGCTCAATATTCACTATCTGTTTACTTCCTTTTCTGTCAATTTCATTTTTGCGAAAGTTATCGCTATTTTTATATTTCCTTCTGTCTATAATCCTATTACCTGTATTTACACTATTCTTTCTAACAATCTTATTGCTGAGCTCATTGTTTGATTGTTGCATGTACTTTTTCCCTCTCGCTGGTCTCAACTCTGAACGGCCTTCAATCTCCCTTATTCCGCTTTGTCGTACATGCAGCTCATGAGGCCCTTCTGGACCACGAGGATTACTGCTACGTTGATACTGAGAAGACAAGGTCGACTCCTGCAAGATAAAGATATTACATGTTGCATGCAACAGCATTTAACAGCAATGAAAATTTACTAATAAATTTACTACTACTACAATAAGTATGTAAATAATACAGTGGACCCCCGTTAACGATATTTTTCATTCCAGAAGTCATTTCAGGTGCCATACGACAATTTTTCCCCATAAGAAATATTGTGAAGTAGATTAGTCCATTTCAGACCCCCAAACATACACGTACAAACGCACTTACATAAACACACTTACATAATTGGTCGCATTCGGAGGTAATCGTTATGCGGGGGTCCACTGTATGCCATATTCTAAAATATTCAACAACACTATTCATCACCATCATCAAAATTATCATCAACACCATCATTCCATCATAATCAGCACCATCACACATCACTATCATTCACACCAACATCACATCACAGTCATAAACCATCATCACTATTAACACCAATATCATATCATCCCTATTATCAACACGATCTCATTATTGCTATCATACTCCTCTCATCAGCCCTATCATCATCCTCTCATTAACACTATCATCAACACCATCATCATCATCATTAACAACATTATTACATCACCACTCTCAACACCATCATGACATCACTATCAACACCATCACTATCTCCAAACACCATCACATCACTATCATTAAGTGGTGAATTTGTACTGGCAAGTCTTGAAAATGTCAGTCTCTCAATAATTCTGTTTTATTCAAAAGGTCACTTTTTAAAGGGTTTACTCTAAAAAGATATGTGTGGACCATGCATAAACTTACCTGAGCGAGGGAGAAATAGAGATATATGATAATGGCCCAAGTTAAGGAAGCCACCATCACACCAAGGACAAATGATCTTGCCCTCAGAGAAGACCCCATTGGAGCTGAACCTCCAACCTCCAGGAAAAATAAGCCAGATTTACAGATTAGTAAGAATATGGGCAGAGTAATACACAGTTATGCTGTATTTGCAATGCAAAATTTGAGAGAAAGCAAAAAGAATAGCTACAAAAACAACTCCACTAAAAGTAGTGTATGTACATGCTATTGCTAGTATACATATACAGTGGAACCTCAATTTTCGTCGTTAATTCGTTCCATAAAGTCTGATGAAAACCGAATTCGATGAAAACTGAAGCAATATTTTCCACAAGAAATAATGTAAATCTAATTAAACCGTTCCAGACACCCAAAAGTATTAACAAAATATATATTTTATGGAGAATAACTATAGTTTTACATACAGAAAACAGTGAAAAATAAATATAAAGTACTAATGAAATGGATAAATGAACATTTAATATCACTTTCACCTTTAATGAACGACTCGTTGGCGTATGGAAGACGTGAAGAGAGGAAAGGGAGGAGGAGAGGGTATTGGTTGGAAGGGGAATCCCCCCTCCATAACGACTTCAGGTATCAAGTCCCTATCCAGGGTTACTTCCCTTCTTCGTCTTTTACTGGCACTGGACCCCTGTCGCACAAAAAATCGGTCCAGAGAGGTCTGTTTCTGGCATCTCTAAGATTTGCCTAAAATGGGACAAGGCATCGTCACTGAACATGTTGCAGACATGGCTTGCAACAGCTTTGTTAGGGTGATATTTCTCCACAAAACTTTGCAACTCACCCCACTTTGCACACATGTCCTTAATTACCGAAGAAGGCACTGATTGTTGATGAGGACTTCCTATACATCCTGGCGAGATAGACCACATGTACACCATTTTCATACTTTGCTACGAGTTCTTTCTTGAATTCTATCGTGTTTCTTGCCTTCTTTATCAAAGGGCTGGTACTCGGAACTTTCTTTGGCCCCATGGTGGCTTATTTAGCAGTTGCACTCAATAAACAAGCACAAAAAACAAGGGATTATTACAAAATATTTTGGATAAACAAGCAGGGTAATGCTCACTCGACGAGAAACGAAGCCAGACTGATTCAGAACTTGTAGGATGCTTTGTGTGGACGCAGGAAGACAGACACATTTGGTACGGGGGACTGACGAAAACCTAGGTGATGAATGAAAACTGGGACAAAATTTTGATGAAAAAAGTCGTTGAAAACCGAATTCGACAAAAACCAGGACAAACAAAAACTGAGGTTCCACTGTAGTAGGTAAATGATGACTAACTGAGGAACACTGTAGTGATTGTGTAGGTGCTGGGAGCATCACACAGCTGGGATACAGCAAAACGAGATTTATCTGTGACATGTAATTTACATGTAACCTGTCTTGGGAATTTTCCTACTTCCTCAGCCTGTCCTGTGGCCTGGCTCATGGGTTGGCCACCTTAAGACTCATGTTTTTATTTATTCTCTGATTCTTGAATATCAGGTGAACTGACTGATTACAGGGAAAAACCTTTTTAGCACTAAGGAACAGATCCAAAATACAGACTACTTTAAAGTAGAATTTAAAGAAAAAAAAAATCATACCTCCAGGCAAAAAACAGTATTTGGGCCATTTGACAGAATGGAAGATATACTACTGATTGGTTTCAGGACTGAATGTAGTATGAAATTGGGCTCAAAATAGCAGAAATATTCGATATTTGCCGATTTTCCTAAGGAAAGGTGAAAGTTCCCCCTACACTCCCTGGTCTATTTTATGAGTTTTTCCTAAGTCTGATGAATTACTGGGACACCATAAACCATGACCAATTATTTTTTTTTTTTTTACATATCAGGAAGACCAATCTACTGAAAGTAAAAGTTAAGTTTATATTCCATGGCATTACATAGTTTTATATTATACTGTATATTCTTCTGTCATACATGGAGAAGCCCATAGTCATACAACGCATTCAGACAGACAAAATACTTCTAGAACAGATATACAGTATTACATGTTTCCTTTGCACAATTCCCTTGTTATTTAAGTTTATATAAGCAAGAACATTATTATTATTATAATCAAGGGGGAAGCGCTAAACCCGGAGGATTATACAGCGCTTGGGGGGGATGTGGAAGGCATTCAGGCTTAATTTGGGGAACTGGAGCACAGATCCAATTCCCTAAATCAAGAGCCCCTCACCAACATCAAGGAACCTTCCTTGAGGGGATAAGCAAGAACAGAGAGGCCCTAAACTCAATTTTAACCAAAGAACACAAGCAGCAAGTATGAGGAAACTAGAAGACACTTATACAACATTTGGGAATCTTTATTGAGGAAATCATGCACCAGTCAGTGGCTTCAGTCCAATACAGAGAATAACAGAGGCTGAGGGACTGATTACCTCATACTACTCCTCATCTTCCTTTGTTATTCTCTGTATTGGACTGAAGAAGCCATTGGCTGGTGAAACATTTCCTCAATAAAGATTCTCAAATGTTGCACATGTGTCATTCTTCAACTTGTCAGTTTTCAAAACCATTTTCATCACAAAAGGAGACTTGTTCATACGTCTCACCTCGCCTGGGGGGTCAGCCTGGGGGGTCAGCCTGAGGGATCAGCCTGAGGGATCAGCCTGAGGGGTCAACCTGAGGGGTCAACCTGGGGGGTTAGCCTGAGGGGTCAGCCTGAGGGGTCAACCTGGGGGGTCAGCCTGAGGGGTCAACTTGGGGGAAGGGGGTATCCTGGAGGGCAGCCTGGGGAGGTCTGCCTAGGGAGTCAGCCTGGGGTGAGTCAGCCTGGGGTGAGTCAGCTGGGGAGCAGCCTGGGATGGGTGAGTCAGCCTGGGGGAGTCAGCCTGGGGGGAGTCAGCCTGGGGGGAGTCAGCCTGGGGGGAGTCAGCCTGGGGGGAGTCAGCCTGGGGGGAGTCAGCCTGGGGAGAGTCAGCCTGGGGAGTCAGCCTGGGGTCAGTCAGCCTGGGGTCAGTCAGCCTGGGGACAGTCAGCCTGGGGTCAGTCAGCCTGGGGTCAGTCAGCCTGGGGGGAGTCAGCCTGGGAGTCGTCAGCCTGGGGCGGTAGTCAGCCTGGGGTCAGTCAGCCTGGGGTGTCAGCTGGTCAGTCAGCTGGGGGGAGTCAGCCTGGGGAGAGTCAGCCTGGGGTCAGTCAGCCTGGGGTCAGTCAGCCTGGGGTCATCCGGCCTGGGGTACTTCTGGTTGCGAGCCAAACACACTACCACTTTACTCAGCTTTACAATTATACATGTTTACAATGGTTGCGAGAAACAACTGTCATAGGCACAATGGTAAATTATCTAAGATTTAACCGAAGATAATCCATAAAAAAAAAAAACGCATTTCCATCGAGGTCTTCAACGGAAATAAGCCAAGACTTTCTTGGGTTATTAACTCTCCGGAGTTAATAACCCGAAAAAATAATTAACTTCTCACCTTAACTTAGTGATTATATTTGTAGGAAGTATCCATAAACTATATAACAACCTGTAATAACCATAGTGCTGACACCTCACACTAAATTCCACACATCTTGTTATTGTTCAGGTTGTTAAAGGCCGTCAAAGCTTACGTCTTATTGAACCCTCCTCTCGGTCGGGAATATGCGGTATATAAAGAAACAGTTCTCCGAAAGAAAAAAGAACATGTAATCCATACTTAGGAAGATATCTTGCTTAAATTTGGATAAATGTAAACATGTTACTATAATTACTGCTACCACACCATGAGACAACAAAAATTGACATTTTACTCGAGATAGAATTCTAATAATGCTCAGACTAATAAGTAAGTAAGAAGTTATGTTATATATTCAGGTATACACAACTACAGTTATCAAGAATATCATACATTGACTATTTACTGAGAACCTAGGATAACCCAAAAAAGTCAGACAGAGTGACTTATTTCCAGAGGCTCGTGAGGATTAACATCCCAGGGAGAGTAAGGAGTGAAATTCGTCACATGCCCAAGGCATGTGATAGAGGGAAACGCCTACCCTTCAACACCGGTATAAAATTCCCTACACCGTTTAACTGTGGTGTTGGGATTGCTAGGGACTCCTGAGCCTCATACCCTCCCTTCAGTGTTGGAGAGAAATGCTGTCCTATTGTGAGGGGCTTCAAGATAGGACAAGATAAGATTTGTTCGGCTTCTTAACCTGGAGGTTAGCCACATAGGACAATCCAAGGAAAGATATTGCATAAGCGGGGACTGTTATTTCCAATAGGGTCCTTCAATCTTGTCCCTCAGGATGTGACCCACACCGGTCGACTAACACGTAGGTACCCAATGGAAATAAGTCACTCTGTCTGACTTTTTTGGGTTATCCTAGGTTCTCTACACATATGCTGCTATGTATGATAATTCTATGTAACTGTATTGTGTATACCTGAATAAATTTACTTACTTACTTACTTACTTACTGTTAGGCGAACATGGACAGCAGGTGTAAGGAAACATGCTCAACGTTTCCACCCGTGCTGGGGATCGTATTACGAATACTCAGTGTGTGAGGCGAGAGCGTTGCCAACTGAAATTAAAGAAAGCTCTCCCAAACAGGAGAGGTACGGCGGGATGTTAATCATTTTGTTTTACCTTATTAAGTTAACGTAGATTAAAGTTACATGATGTACTTATGTGCACGTATGCCGTACTCTTATGTGCCCATAACATGAGTGTCCTCAAGACCACTATAAAACAGATTTGTTTGTTGTATACGTAAATCCTGGGTGTTCCTTAGCTCGAGTGTTAGTACACGCAACTCACACACTGAGGTCTGTGGTTCGATCCCCAGTACGGGTGGAAACATTAGGACGTATTTCCTTAAGACAACTGCTGTCCCTGTTCACGTGTCAATAAAATAGGTACCTGGGTGTTAGTCAACTGGTGTGGGTCGCATCCTGGGAAGAAAAATTGACCTAATTTGCCCGAAATGCTCTGCATAACAAGGAATAATAGTATGTCAGCTATTGTCTGTATACCTTGTACATACTTGTAGAAATAAATATTATTATTATTATTATTATTATTATTATAAGTAAAATATTAAATGTCAATCTCCCCTGAAATGATAACCGGCTTCCCAATAGCCGTAAAATTATCAGTAGAGCTGAATATTGATTCATTATGAAGCTCCGGAAATTATGCAGCGTTTTCTATCCTATTGTTTTAGACATTGTATCAATCGCATCTGCTAGAAAAATGACAGGATGGATAATGAGAACCTTCAAAACTAGGGATGCCAAGCCCATGATGACACTCTTCAGGTCGCTTGTTCTATCTAGGCTGGAATATTGCTGCACGCTAACAGCACCTTTCAAGGCAGGTGAAATTGCTGACCTAGAAAATGTACAGAGAACCTTCACGGCGCGCATAACGGAGATAAAACACCTAAATTACTGGGAACGCTTGAGGCTCCTGAACTTGTATTCCCTGGAACGCAGGCGGGAGAGATACATGATTATATACACCTGGAAAATCCTAGAGGTACTAGTACCGAACTTGCACACGAAAATCACTCACTACGAAAGCAAAAGACTTGGCAGACGATGCAACATCCCCCCAATGAAAAGCAGGGGTGTCACTAGCACGTTAAGAGACCATACAATAAGTGTCAGGGGCCCGAGACTGTTCAACTGCCTCCCAGCACACATAAGGGGGATTACCAACAGACCCCTGGCAGTCTTCAAGCTGGCACTGGACAAGCACCTAAAGTCGGTTCCTGACCAGCCGGGCTGTGGCTCGTACGTTGGTTTGCGTGGAGCCAGCAGTAACAGCCTGGTTGATCAGGCTCTGATCCACCAGGAGGCCTGGTCACAGACCGGGCCGCGGGGGCGTTGACCCCCGGAACTCTCTCCAGGTAAACTCCAGGTAAATGCAAAATGTGGATACTATCTCAAGATTACAGATATCTTAACACTTGGACACATTATTATTTATTATTATTACTATTACAAGATCGTATGAGTTATTGAACTCACCTTCATATATATGAGTCTCATATTCTTACGTTTCGAAGTCATTTTCTTGACTGGTAGACTGGGTTGCTACACTGCACTGCAACAAACTGTTGGTAGATGTGGTCAACCCGCAACACAGGCAGTTGGTAGACAGCAGTCATACAAGGAAGATGCTACCGTCCTGTCAGATAAGTGTGAAATGGAACGCTGTTAAATATTATGCCCTCTCGTAGGATTGTTGAAGTGTTCTCTTTCATGAACACCTAAGATGGCAGGTAAATCTTTAATTCATAAATACGGTAGATGGCAGGTATCTCATGAACATGTAAGGCGGCAGGTAACTCTTACAGTACACACACACACACATACCTTTACTTTCCTATGTACTTCGTAGTTCTTAATTCTGTAATCTATCCTCCCCAGCTTAATTAAGAGGCTTGATCTGAGACTGGGCCGTGTGGAAGATAATTCTCAGACCCACTAGCTTAACAGGATGCGCTTAGCTTAAAGTGTAGGGCGTGGCAAACTCAAGGCAGGTTGGGCGTGGTCAGCCACAGGCAGGGTGGGCGTGGTCAGCCACAGGCAGGGTGGGCGTGGTCAGCCACAGGCAGGGCGGGCGTGGTCAGCCACGGGCAGGGTGGGCGTGATCAGCCACAGGCAGGTTGGGCGTGGTCAGCCACAGGCAGGGTGGGCGTGGTCAGCCACAGGCAGGGCGGGCGTGGTCAGCCACGGGCAGGGTGGGCGTGATCAGCCACAGGCAGGGTGGGCGTGATCAGCCACAGGCAATGTGGGCGTGGTAAACCCCAGGCAGGGTGGGCGTGGTCAGCCAGAGGCAGGGTGGGCGTGGTAACCCAGAGGCAGGGTGGGCTTGGTAAGCCCCAGGAAGGGTGGGCGTGGTCAGCCCTAAGTAGAGTGGGTGTGGTGTAATATAACGTTCCACACCTTTACGGTAGTTGCGCCGCCACCGTCGGTTCCTAGTGGAAAATTAGAAATCATATGAAAAGTCTATAAAAACATATAAGTATATTATTATTGCATATTTCGACGTTTCAGAGTAGTTGAGGCATTTTCTAACAGGGGAAAGCCTCATTTAACGTCGTCGATAGGTTCTGGAATTAACCTAGCCTTAATACCATAATCTGTAAGGATTTAATGTTAAAAATTAATCTAAGTCTGCCCGAAATGCCTAGCCATGTTAGGTGTCCTAGTGGCCCCCTCTGTAATTAGTATTTTATAACATGCAAACCACACAATATCCAAATCCTGTAAACCCCCCACTGTAACCCTTATAGGGAATAAGCTTGATTTGATTTGATTTGATTTGATATAACGATACTAATTTTGCATTTGGCTAATTGATATAAGCAAGAGTTAACGGTAACTAAATGGTTATAACTGTGACCATAATTTTTAAAAGGGTGGACCAGTAAGCCAGGGGAAGGCTTCAGTCAAATGACCATAAGCTCCAACGGCAGGTCATCTTACTAAGACCCAAGTCAGGAAACACTTGTCCTGTTTCCTGACAAACCTTACCTAACCTAACAAAATTTAAGTTGCTACGGCCAGAGATGTGAGAGGGAGGGCAGTAGTGCTGCACACGACAGGATATTTAAGTCTTTCCATATTTTCCATTCCTGGCTGGGAATTGATTTCTTTTTCTCATCAACGTTATAACGAAACGAAGTTGACCGAGACGACGTTAAGCGAAGACTTCATGTACTTCATGTTTTAGCTAAAATACGTAGATTATCACACTTTAAATCGAAACTGATGCTAAAAAAAATCAGTTTTAGCACGTAGGGTGTTCAAACGCACTTCTCACTAATATTGATTATTACAATCACAACTAGGCGTTAAACCCACAAGGATCATACAGCACTGCTCCACTAATACTGGTCACAAAATTGTAGCATATCATTAGACAGCATTTCACTCAATGATGAACACTTTACTAGTCTTCAAAAAGCTAATCTTCAAACGAGACAAACTCTGACACTGATGTCTTTTTTACTCAGCAGTAAAACTGCTAAACAAAGATAATACATCTTTCAAAACTCCACCAAAAACCCGCAATAAGAGATAAACCTTATGACTTCGGTCCCTCCTGGATTATTGTCAAATCACAAGTGGGGAGAAACACGTAGAGAAGGGTTAATGACAACATGGTAGGGGCATGGGAAGAAGGGAGTGGTGGTAGTCCTTGCACTAGTGGTCGTCGTGATAGTAATAATAGTTATAGTAGTAGAAGTTGTAGTAGTACAGCCGTAGTAATAATGCTGAAGGAGCAGCAGCAGCAGTAGTAGTAGTAGGAGGCCCATTGTGAGGGGTTATAAGATTGTAGAGTGATGTTAAATGTCCGTCATAGTGCTAAAAGTAACGTTAGTTTGTGGCCACGACGTAGACTTTTCGACGTTCTGGACTACAAATGACCACTTTGAGACAGTCTCAAAGTCATAGGTGTGTTTGCCTATGTTGCACATCATTCAAAAACACTTTTTGTATTCTGAACAACTGCAAAAGTAATATAACTTAGGTGCCACAACAACGTAATACTGATTCACGCACTCGAGTGTCCGCAACAGTTGGGTAGCTTTATTGATGAAACGTTTCGCCTACACAGTAGGCTTCTTCAGTCAAATACAAAGGAAGCAGATGTAGTAGTGAAATAAAGATAATGTAATCAGTCTATCAACCTTGGAAAAACAATATTTGAGGTGGTCTGTATTTGACTGAAGAAATCTCCTGTGTAGGTGATATGTTTCAACAATAAATATACCCAACTGTTGCACATGTATCTTAATCTTCAGTTTGTCGGTATTTTATACCATTTTCAACAATAATTTATTTCGTCTGGCACAAGAGATTCTATAACAAACTTGTCACTATTTACTTAAGTGTCGTCTGAGCGGTTTACTGTGCACCGCTGTGGCTCTTGTGAGCGGTATTACAGTAAGCCAGGATTACAGAGATCACAGGGAGCCTGTATCAGACCCCCGCTGGTTACAGTTATATCTTTCAGCTATTACACGGTTGTGTCAAGTATTACAGTCTCATCATACAGAACGGGTGTGCCTCCCCTGATGTAGGAGGGAGAGAGAGAGCAGGAACAGATGTACGACTGCAGGCAGCATTTGGTGTTATGCAGGAGTTTACCTGGAGAGAGTTCCGGAGGTCAACGCCCCCGCGGCCCGGTCTGTGACCAGGCCTCCTGGTGGATCAGAGCCTGATCAACCAGGCTGTTGCTGCTGGCTGCACGCAAACCAACGTACGAGCCACAGCCCGGCTGATCAGGAACTGACTTTAGGTGCTTGTCCAGTGCCAGCTTGAAGACTGCCAGGGGTCTGTTGGTAATCCCCCTTATGTGTGCTGGGAGGCAGTTGAACAGTCTCGGGCCCCTGACACTTATTGTATGATCTCTTAATGTGCTAGTGACACCCCTGCTTTTCATTGGGGGGATGGTGCATCGTCTGCCAAGTCTTTTGCTTTCGTAGTGAGTGATTTTCGTGTGCAAGTTCGGTACTAGTCCCTCTAGGATTTTCCAGGTGTATATAATCATGTATCTCTCCCTCCTGCGTTCCAGGGAATACAGGTTTAGGAACCTCAAGCGCTCCCAGTAATTGAGGTGTTTTATCTCCGTTATGCGTGCCATGAAACTTCTCTGTACATTTTCTAGGTCGGCAATTTCACCTGCCTTGAAAGGTGCTGTTAGTGTGCAGCAATATTCCAGCCTAGATAGAACAAGTGACCTGAAGAGTGTCATCATGGGCTTGGCCTCCCTAGTTTTGAAGGTTCTCATTATCCATCCTGTCATTTTTCTAGCAGATGCGATTGATACAATGTTATGGTCCTTGAAGGTGAGATCCTCCGACATGATCACTCCCAGGTCTTTGACGTTGGTGTTTCGCTCTATTTTGTGGCCAGAATTTGTTTTGTACTCTGATGAAGATTTAATTTCCTCATGTTTACCATTATCTGAGTAATTGAAATTTCTCATCGTTGAACTTCATATTGTTTTCTGCAGCCCACTGAAAGATTTGGTTGATGTCCGCCTGGAGCCTTGCAGTGTCTGCAATGGAAGACACTGTCATGCAGATTCGGGTGTCATCTGCAGGAGAGCAGACATATGACTTCAGGCAGCATCTGGCGTTACATAGTTTCCACCTCCCGTCTACACCTGGGCTACACCTGGAAGTTTGCACCACCAGCACATATACTCTTAACTACATTCAAACCTTGTCAGTAGAACATAAATCCCGGAATTGATGGAACTCACTCACAAATCTTCAAGAAAAATCTAAACATTTCAGTCACAATGTATACTTGGAGTATACATTGTGACCGCGGGGGTCAACATCCCCGTGGCCCGGTCTGTGTCCAGGCCTCAAGGTGGATCAGGGCCTGATCAACCAGACTGTTACTGTTGGTCGCACGCAAACCGACGTACGAACCACAGCCCGGCTGGTCAGGTACTGACTTTAGATGCCTGTCCAGTGCCTTCTTGAAGACAGCCAGGGGTCTATTGCTAATCCCCCCTATGTATACTGGGAGGCAGTTGAATAGTCTTGGACCCCTGACACTGTTTGTCTCTTAGCGTACTTTATAATTTAACTAACACCAGAAACATATTGCATATAGCAGTGGTGGCGATACCTTGATCTGGGTCCTTCAAGGGAGTGCCTTGATGCCATGGGAGGGGCTCTTGATGCAAGAAAATGAACCTGCCGATGCGACCCACACCCGTCGACTAACACCCAGGTACTTGCTTGCTAGGTGAACGGGACAACAGGTGAAAGGAAACACGCTCAACGTTTCCACCCATGCCGGGAATCGAGCCACGGACACTCAGCGTGTGAAGCGAGAGCATTGCCTACCATCGTAGCAATATGTTGCAAACTTAACTTATTCAGTAACATGAACATTTAAATGAAGCTTATTTACTGTTACATTCACCTTGATCATGAAGCTTATTTACTGTTACATTTACCTTGATCATGAAGCTTATTTACTGTTACATTCACCTTGATCATGAAGCTTATTTACCGTTACATTTACCTTGATCATGAAGCTTATTTACTGTTACATTCACCTTGATCATGAAGCTTATTTACCGTTACATTTACCTTGATCATGAAGCTTATTTACTGTTACATTCACCTTGATCATGAAGCTTATTCACTGTTACATTTACCTTGATCATGAAGCTTATTTACTGTTACATTCACCTTGATCATGAAGCTTATTTACTGTTACATTTACCTTGATCATGAAGCTTATTTACTGTTACATTCACCTTGATCATGAAGCTTATTTACTGTTACATTTACCTTGATCATGAAGCTTATTTACTGTTACATTCACCTTGATCATGAAGCTTATTCACTGTTACATTTACCCTGATCATGAAGCTTATTTACTGTTACATTCACCTTGATCATGAAGCTTATTTACTGTTACATTTACCTTGATCATGAAGCTTATTTACTGTTACATTCACCTTGATCATGAAGCTTATTTACTGTTACATTCACCTTGATCATGAAGCTTATTCACTGTTACATTTACCTTGATCATGAAGCTTATTCACTATTACATTCACCTTGATCATGAAGCTTATTCACTGTTACATTCACCTTGATCATG